TATTGGGTTTTTTAATATGTACTAGTGAAGAAGAGTAGTTGGCTCATGAGCAAATGAAGCATGTCGAAGCTTGAAAAAACATGATATCTTCCTCTTCATTCTCAAACGTATTATTCCTCACACGCCACTCTCTTTGTTTCTATTTGCCTTATTCTCTATTCTCTTGCAAAGCTCTTATTCGCCACATCTCAAACGCACTTCTCCAATTTAACCCCAAACTCTTAAAGCCCCATTTTGTTTCCAAATTACAGCCCAACCATGTCCACCACATCCCTCTCAGCCTCCAATCCAACTCCATTTCCACCCATCACTTGCTTGATTGGTCTCGTAACTCTCTCGGCTTACACCACTCCCCACAGTCCTTTTGTGCCCTTATTCATCTGCTGCTCCGTCACCGAAAGCTGGCTTCAGCTTCACACCTTTTCGATACAATGGTACGCCAATTTGGGACTCATTTTCACTTTTTTGCAGCTTTTTCTGAGATTTCTCCCAATTATGCTTCGGATTCTAGTGATCTTTATAGCTTTCTGATTGAGAACTTTTGTCGGAATGGGATGCTAGATTCATCTATTGAGACATTCATTCATATGTGTAAATTGGGAGTTCCGGTGTCTCCTTATGTGTTATCCAGAATGTTGACTTTTTTGGTTGATTCAAATTGTGTCCACGTGATTCTTGATTTATATGGACAAGTGTGTAAAGCATTGAGAGGACAGTGTTTCTGTGTGTATGAGTTTATTGTGGTTGCTCTTCTAAACAAGGGTAAAGTTGAAACGGGTGTGGATTTTCATTCCGCTGTGATTGAAAGAGGCTTTGTGGTTGATATTGTTGCTTGTAACAAGATTTTAAAGCATCTTTGTAAAGAAAATCTGATTGGAGTTGGGGAAGATTTCTTTAATGTATTGATGATGGGTGGTCCCGAGCCAAATGTGGTGACATTCAGCACAATGATTAACGCGTATTGTAAGGATGGGAAATTGGAGGAGGCCATTAAGCTTTATAAGGTTATGATAGAGAAGGGTGTCAGCTCTGACTTGGTTGTATATAGTATTCTAGTTGATGGTCTTTTTAAGGCAGGGAAATTGGAGGAGGGGCTTCGACTTTTTTCAGAGGCATTAGATAGTGGCATTAGGTTGGATGTAGTCATTTTCAGTTCCGTTATGGATGCCTATGTGAGAATTGGAGACTTGGTGAAGTCAGTGCAGGTCTACGGAAGAATGCTGAAAGAAGGGATCTCGCCAAACCCTGTTAGTTACACCATTCTTATAAATGGTATGTGTCAGGATGGTAAGGTCATGGAGGCTTGTGGCATATTCGGTCAGATTGTGAAGTGTGGTTTTGTGCCATCCGTTCTAACTTACAGTAGTTTGATTGATGGAATGTGCAACTTGGGGAATTTAAAGGATGCATTTTACCTGTATGAGAGTATGATCAAGACTGGCTATGAACCTGATATTATTCTTTATGGTGTGCTAGTAAATGGCCTTTGCAAACAAGGGCTGATGGGTGATGCTCTTAGGTTTTTCTTTCAGGCTGTTTATAGGGGTGTAAAGCCCAATGTCTATACTTTTAATATGTTAATAGATGGTTGCTGTAGATTAAAAAGACTAAATGATGCTGTGAAGGTGTTCATCCAAATGGGAGTTTATAATATAAAACCTGATATGGTGACGTATACTGTGATTATTAAGGGTATCTCTGAAATAGGGAGATTAAAAGATGCGTTAGTATTTTTCTTCCAATCATTAAAGAAGGGGTTCTTGCCTGATGTTGTAACGTATTGCACACTAATTGATGGTTGCTGCAAGCAGAAACGTGTGTATTATGGACTCCGAATTCTAGAGATGATGCGAAGAAATGGAGTAAGTCCTGATATTGCCATTTATAATGTTCTCATTAATATGCTTTTCAAAGAAAGTTATTTAGAAGCTGCACAAGAACTCTTTGAGCAACTTACTGAAAGTGGGCCAGAACCTGACATTGTTACGTACAACACAATGATTTGTGGTTATTGTTCTCTGAGAAGGTTAGATGCAGCTGTTCAACTTTTTCAAAAGCTGATACAGGGACAGTGTAAACCCAATGCCATTACTTGTACTATACTGATTGATGCTTTTTGCAAAGAAGGTAACATGGATGATGCCATGTTGATGTTTGATAAAATGCTGGAAAAGGATCCCGAACCTAATTTGGTCACATATAGTTGTCTTATTGATGGTTATTTTAAATCTGAAAACATGAAAAGTGCATTTGAACTGCACGAAGAGATGCTTAAAAACATCTCTCCCAATATAGTCAGTTATAGCATCCTCATGGATGGTCTTTGCAAGAGAGGACTAACGGAGAAAGCATCCCTTGCGTTTCATTGTGCTATAGAAAGGGGTTTGGTGCCTGATGTAATAGCATATGGGATTCTGATTCGTGGTTACTGCAAGGTAGGAAGAATGGCAGAAGCCCTCATTTTGTACGGCCATATGTTAATTAGTGGCATCATGCCGGACGCTGTCATACAAAGGACGATCACTGAGCATATTCTTGAAGCTGATCAACGAAAATAATCGACCGCTCAACCGCATGATCTGCAGATAAGATCTGTTCTGTAATACAGTGTGCCACTTGGAGCCTGCGTGGTCACCTTTTTGCACCCTTTACCTATTTGGTACTTCCTGCTAGCTAATTGTTGTACTAGCACCATAATTTTCTAAGCCCAGGTGAGTTCATGTTGTTTCTCATTCAAATTATTAGTTACATATGTCTATATATATTTCTTGATCATTTTGCTGATAATATTATCAGAATGATTGCTTAGAGCTTCAATTTCTCAGGTTCTGCTTCGTGTCTTTTAATTTTCTAGTCTTGGTAGGAATAGGAGTTTCACTTTAATCAATTGTTGTAGAAAGCATTTGATAAACATAAAGCAGTAAGCCCATAAAGCCTGAAAATTCCCACTTTGCTTGAAGTTTATTATTGGATATCATGTGACAAGCTTCAAAACTATGATCTAGTTAGCTACAAGATCATTTTCCAGTTATGAGATTACTGTGGATTAGAAATTGCTTAGCTGTATAATTTATGTTTGGGCAAGTAGTAGCAGCTTATGATTACAATATTAGGAATTCAGGTTCTAGCATTTTGTAAATTAATGTAGGATCTGTTCCTGTACAATCAATACATGCTGCTACTAGTGCTCGTTTCGGAAATTTTTTGGATGATTTGGTTGGGGAATCTACCTGTCAAGTAAGAAGCGCCTTTTATCGTTGCAGGATTTCAATTACTTTCAAACTCTGTTATTGTTGCATGATTTCAATTACTTTTAAACTCTGTTATCGTTGCAGGATTTCAATTACTTTCAGAAAAATGGATAATAGCAAGATTCCATACATTTTTTTTCACGATCCCGAGCTTCAGGAAATTAAACCTTTTGTTCATTCTCACTTTGCCAAATAAAAAATCCTGCAAGATGAACAAGGGAAGCCTAAGTCCTATTTTCCTGTCAAGTCACAAGTTCAACAGAACTTGCATCAAGACGACGACCTTAACCGTACTGAATCCAAGAGTGCTAAGAAGCGGAATATCAACTCTTCTTTTGTTCTTGAGAAAGATGATTTCCCTCCACTTGGCAGTTTATGTTCTGTGAACAGACGGACCGTCAACAGACGATGAGTTATAATTTTAATTTTTCGTTTTTTTTCTTCTTAACTGTATGTGATTGCGTAGGGGTTAAATTTATTGTGTCAGGTAAAATCATTAAACAGGGTGTTTTCAAATCATCCTACTGTATCCTTCAGTAAACTGTTTGTATTTCCTTGTATCCATTTTCTTTTCTTCCAAAACTTCCTTGGATCCTTCAATAAACTCTTTGTACATGTTATTGTAACTTTATAACAGTTTGGTAAAGTCAGTCTCTATGCAGAGTAATGAGGACAGATCTTCGTAACTTCCATTTTACATATGCTTTGTGAGCAATTCAATTTCTACCATATAATCTATTTTGAAAAAAGCAAAGCTTGAAAATCTGGACATCATTTCCACTATCTGAACTGTTATTGTAAGTACTAAAAGGGAGGATGCAGATACAACTACGACAAAAACTTAATTTTGAAGTTAAAAGTATATGGTTTGCCTCGATTGCCCAGATTTTTTTCATCGAGTCTTTCGGTTTAGATCAAATTGATATTTTATATATATATATATATATATATATAATAAATTATTGGAATGCACAAATGCTCACCCCTAATAATTTCTGTAAATTGTGGTAATTTTTTTTTTTTTGGTTTTCTTTTTGCCAAATTTAGGATGGGGTAGGAGGATTTTTTACACGCTTGCTAAAGTGACATAGGCGTTTGAACCTGAGACAATTCGTCTACAGGTCAATATCATTTTCTGCTATACTAGACCCCATTAGCAACATTGCGACAACTTTAAAATCACAACAACATGAGCCTTAAATAATCTTAAATGATGGCCTTGAACACTGTCACAAATGAAAAAGAAAAAAAAATTGGAAGGAGAATGTAGCCAACAATCCTCCTTTTGTATGGTAAAATTAAAAAAGACCTTCTCCTTTGGCTCTTGTATTACTTTGAGATGGAGGAAGAATAAGAATCTCGTCAGTTGCAGCCTGCAAGTTGCAAGTAGCACAAACTACAGTCTACTACACCCTGGCTTACTGATGAAGACGCGACCAAAGGAATCAAATCAAAATCAAAAATTCCCACTTGAATAGTTTGGTGTGCCGACACACACACAATCGCCGCCCATTAGCTGACTTGACACACATTTATGCTTTCAAATTCAATTAAGACTTTCCACCAGAGCCAGCCCTATCAGGTACATCTCAGGTTCACCTTTTCTCCCCTCCTCCAACCAATCACCACCACTCACGTCTTGAAGCAGAGTCCACGTGGGTCCCCATGACCAAGCCAGGCTCACTTGCTTGACACGTGTCAATATTCCTGAACAGCGAAATCAAGGCTCTGTTGAATTGTTTGTGTTCTGTTTTTCCCCTTTTCCTGAAGAAAGAAAAAAAAAAAAAAATCAGAAAATGGGAAAACAACTTTAAACCGAATGATCAGTTGTTTCTCAATCAGTGAGGGAGAGATTGGTGGTGAAGTGTCAATTCAAGTGGAGGGTCTGAGTTTTTTGGCTCTGAGAGTTCCTGGGATTCTTTTGTTTACCGTTTATTTTCTTGAAACTCAGTTCATTGAGAATTTGGCTCTGTTTTGAGGTCTCTTTGGAAGTTTGGAGAGAGGGATTGGTTTTTTTCACTTTTACATCCAAGCCCAGGTGAGCTCATGTTGTTTCTCATTCAAATAATTACTTATATATATATATGTGTGTGTGTGTGTGTATATTTTGATCAATTTGCTGATAATATTATAAAAATTATTGCTTAGAGCTTCAATTTCTCAGGTTCTGCTTAGTGTGTCTTTTACTTTTCTGGTCTAGTAGTAATAGGAGTTTCACTGAAATCAAATTGTTGTAGAAATCATTTGATAAGCATAAAGCAGTATGCCCATAAAGCCTGAAAATTCCCACTTTGCTTGAAGTTGATTATTGGAGAACATTTGACAAGTTTCAAAATCATGATCTGGTTAACTACAACATCATTTTCCAGTTATGAGATTACTGTGGATGAGAAAATGGTTAGCTGTATAATTTATGGTTTGGGCAAGTAGTAGTAGCTTATGATTCAGGTTCTAGCATTTTGTAAATTAATGTAGGATCTGTTCCTGTACAATCAATACGTGCTGCTACTAGTGTTCATTTCGAAACCAATTGGAAGATTTGGTTGGGGAATCTACCTGTCAATTAAGAAGTTGCGTTTTATTGGTAGCGTGTTTCGTTTCCTTTTTGTCCACATGAAGTCATGTGGTGATGTGCCAAGCAAGATATAATATCTATGATTTTAGTTTGGAATTAGATGATTAAAATGGTTGGCCATTGTTGGGTTTTCTAAAATTTTATCTTGAAGTTTGAAATTTCTAATAAAACAATACTTTTACATTGGTGTAATGGGGGGTTTGTTGGGTTGAAGAGGTTTGGAATTGGATTTGTGGTATCTCAGTTGTTTTTCTTTGGCCTTGTTGACTGATAAATTTATGGACTTTTGAGCTTCCTTTCTGCAACCTACAAGCTATGAAAGGTTATGTAATTCAGCATTGTAAGCTTTTAATTTAAGACAAATATAAGAATTGAACTAATATGTTGAACCTTCTACCAGAAATCAGAATGCATTAGAATTTAGAACAAGGATTATAAAAATGATGCTTTCTTTTTGCTTTGTACAATTTTTAATTTTATTTTTTATCTGTAATCAATTCCCACATGATTGACAACCATATACCAATGTGTGATAACCTAAAAGGATCGTGCATCTTTTTGTCCTGGCAGAAGTGATCAGAATTCCATAACCACTAGCTTTTCTCTTTTTGGCAACACAAAATGTGAAATGTGATTGTATTTTAGTCAGTTCACTGTTCTGATGACATTTGATTATTTATGTGAGGGATACACTCTATATACTGAGTCTCAAAATCCACTTGCTGCTTTTACTGTAGGTGGCGAAGGTGATTGAATAGTGACCTGTCTATAGTTAGAAAGCCTGTACGAGATGAAGTTTGTGAACAATATCCGGGACAGCTAAATTAATTATTATATGCTATTATGGAGTACACAGTAAGGTAATGATTCTCAGCATATCTCTGTCTCTCTCCTATCACTCTCTCCTCTCATCTCTTATATGAACCATATTTTATAAATAATATCCTTTTCTTCTCTTTATTTTTGGCTCAGCGAGAAAGCCTTCTCAAATAGAGATGTCTATATTGGAAATTTTAAGGGAATTCTGCCTCATGGTAATGGTAACTACACATGGTCTGATGGAACAGCCTATGAGGGTGATTGGGAAGAAGGAAAAATGACAGGCAAAGGGAAGCTAATTTGGACATCGGGAGCGCAATATTCAGGTGATTTCTCTGGTGGTTACCTTCATGGTTATGGCATCTTTACTGGATGTGATGGTTCTTTTTACCAGGGTTCATGGAGGATGAATATTCAGCATGGGATGGGAAAAAAACAGTATTGTAATTCAGATATTTATGAAGGATCATGGAAGGAAGGAGTACATGAAGGTAGTGGTAGGTATTCGTGGAATAGTGGGAATGCATATATTGGGAGTTGGAAAGGTGGGAAAATGTGTGGTAGAGGGATCATGAAATGGGCAAATGGTGATCTTTTCAATGGCTTTTGGTTGAATGGGTTAAGAGATGGGTCTGGAGTTTATAGGTTTGCAGATGGGGGATATTATTTTGGAACATGGAGTCGGGGCTTAAAGGATGGAAAAGGAACCTTTTATCCCGTGGGAACTAAACATCCTTCCTTAAAGAAGTGGTGCAGCTCTCTAGATTATTGCAATGACGGAACAAGTTTGTCTGGGTTACTAAATTCAGAGGAAAGCAGGGCTCAACCAAGTGTTAAGCGCAGTTTTTCAGAGAAATTATCTTTTAGTGGACTTTTAAGAAATTCAAGTCGTATATCACACAAGGCTATGTCATTAGATAAAAATTGGACCCATTGCGATCCTTCTCGAGAGTTTATACGTTACGATTCCTTATGCACATTGTCCCATGCCTCTGAGGAAGGTCAACCTGAGGCACAGGATAACAGTTCAGTTTACGAGAGAGAATACATGCAAGGGGTGTTGATTAAAGAGAGAGCTAGTAATCATACAGAGATATCACGGAAAAGTAAACAACGAAATAAAATTGCAGTGATGCAAGAAAAGAGGTCATGTATTGACATTTTTGGAGCCCATAGTAGGAGCTACTATTTAATGCTTAATTTGCAACTTGGTATCAGGTAAATTCCTTTACCCACATCTTTGTAGTCTCAAATTATTAATACTACTGTGTCAGAAAACTGACCTCTTAATATTTTACCCGATGTCTGAGTATTGGAAATTAAACATATTGGCTTGTTGGAACATTGGATTGCATATACCCTTGGCTGCCAGTAATTTGTTAACTCATTTAAATGCTCTCCAGGTACCTTGATTGTGCCATGTCTTTTCCTCTTTGCTTATTCTTTCTGGCAGTCAGTGAGTTTTGGTCATGGTGCAGCCGAACTCTAGTTGATCACCCTTAAAAAAGGAAGTAAAAAAAAGGTCTTTTTGGGGTATTTCATGTGTGCTTTTTTTGTATTGGAGGGACCATAACTCTCTGATTTGACTTCTTTGGATGTACATACATACATACATATATATATATATATATATATCATAATTGGATATAAGTTTGAACTCCCAAATCAAATCTCAATTTAGTTGGGTCTGTTTTCTGCTAAACTCAATGTTTTTATAGGATGTTTTTTTATACTTGCTAAATATTCTGTTTGAAGCTCACAGGTACACTGTTGGGAAGATCACACCAGTTCCTGTACGTGAAGTTCGATCTTCTGATTTTGGAGATCGAGCTAGAATAAGGATGTATTTTCCTAGAAAGGGTTCTCAGTTTACACCTCCGCATTATTCAGTTGATTTCTATTGGAAAGATTATTGCCCTATGGTCTTCAGGTAATAGTTGTCTTATGTGCATTGTCTAACCTGTGAAAGTGAGTGACATAATGAGCATCATGCATTTGGGGTTGTTTGGTTTCTTAAGAGTGCATATTCGTCTGCATATGTGTCTCAATAAAGGGAAATCCTAAACTCTGATTTGTTATCTTTCTTCCATCATAAGAAATAGAGTATGCCCTCAGTTTTTTTTTGGTTGATCAATCAAACTTTGTGTTTTTGGAAAAGAAACTAATGTATGAAACTTGATATTTGAAGTTTTCGGTGATACAGATAAAAAGTATAAGTTGTTCACAACAGATTGCAATAGTTATTCTCTCAACATTTCTATCTTTATAAATGTAACTTAACTACCTTCTGTGCTTCTCCTACATATTTTTCTGTAATATATATATATATATATGTGTGTGTGTGTGTGTGTCTATATTATCTCTTCTTTTCATTTTTTAACTCATCTCTTATCATATTTGGTGATGCATATGTTAATGTGCTTGTTGTACCTGCATCTTACATGATTATCCTCCGTAACTGCAATATTTGTGTAGAAATAGAACTTTAAAAATGACTAGTTCTTTTAATATTCGGGTATATCATTTTTGTTTATATATACATGGCTTAATCATATACATTGTAGGATAAAATGTATACACATTGTAACCTTGCAAGTTTATGCTTCTGATGTATCCTATGCAAATAAGCAGTTGAATCTCTTTCTGCCTAATTAAAATGTGTTATATTTCAGGAATTTAAGGGAAATGTTCAAATTAGATGCAGCAGAATACATGATGTCCATTTGTGGTGATGATGGCTTAAGAGAGCTTTCTTCTCCAGGAAAAAGTGGCAGTATCTTCTATCTTTCTCATGATGATAGATTTGTGATTAAGACTTTAAGAAAAACTGAACTGAAGGTTTGAAGTGCAAACTTCTGTGCTATATATACATAATTATTTCTTTGTGCTCAAAACTCCTGGCAGGCCAAACAATTTACTTGTTTTATTGAATTAACGTAGCAGTTCTCTTACTCTTTTTATTTTGAACCTTGAAACTAGATTCTTAGTTTTTTATTATTATCAATTTTATAGGGTTTACATTCTATTTACTCCAGCTCCCTTTCATGTCCTTTTAAATAGTTGAAATTCATAAAATTTGATATTATCGTTCTAATTGAAAATTCTAAAAAAAAATGATTAAATTCATGTCTAATTGTTTTCAACCCTGAAAGACAAATGAGTGGTCCATTTAAGGCTTCTCCTAGCTGAGTTACAGAGTTATCAGTGTTGCATTTGTTTGATCTTTATATTCTTTTTGCTTCTTGAACTTATCAATTAATTCTATATGAGGACTTAGCTGTTTTTCCCTGAAGGATGTTGAAATGAGTTATGAATCATTTTATTTTTCCCCTTCTTATATAGGTTCTGCTCAAGATGCTGCCTAGCTATTATTGTCATGTAGGAGAACATGAAAACACTCTCATAACAAAAATTTTTGGGCTCCATCGGATAACATTAAAAGGTGGAAAAAAGGTATCTAGCTAATTATCACTCTCTCAGATTGCCCTAGTTTCAGTTCTGCCTTGCTTGTCACCTTTGATTTGTGTGACGTCTTCTAAATGCATTGTTTCCAGGTACGCTTTATGGTCATGGGGAATATGTTTTGCACTGAATTACGAATTCATCGCCGTTATGATTTGAAGGGTTCATCTATTGGAAGATCTACAAATAAAGATAAAGTTGATGAGAATACCACATTGAAAGATCTTGATCTGAAATTTGAATTTCATATGGACAAGTTATTGCGAGAATCCCTTTTTAAGTAAGTACTTTCTGAATTTATTTTCGTTGCGATGCCAATATAACCAGTTTTTCATTATATTTTTATTGGGTAAAGAATGGTTTCATATCACAATGCTTAAGAAAGTACCATTTTTCATCAACTTTCTTTTATAATCAAATAATTTGTTTTTGAAAGTTACTTCAATTCCATATATAATGTGTTAACTGTGAAATTCTGGTTTTTCATTGCCTAAGCATCTTACTGGGATAACTTAATTGGTCAGAAGGTGATGAAACTTCTGCAATATAATATACTCAGTCCTGAGTTAGCTGTGACACTCTAGTTCTCCAAAGCTACTTCCAAGAGCATTTAACGGACTTACATTATGGAGATGCCAACTCCAAAAATCTTCTGAAATAGTGATTTGATTTCAAAACTAGCTAAACTTTGGTAAGAATACTTCAGAATTATTTGGGAGGGTTGGTGAAAGTTTCTATGTGGTAGACTACCCTTATAGATATATGTCCTGCACTAGTTTCTCCTTCTAGTCCTCTGCATCTGGATCTTTGGATTCTGACATGCAAAGCTTGCCTTGAGGAAAGAGCGAAGCGAGTTGAAGAGATTTTTCCAACCTCAACCCTAAATATGAATCATTCACCTTGGTACATGGGAACTGTGTAATCCTTGGAAATCACTTTCTTTCCCTGGTTGATTTGTAAGTTAACAATGCTTTGAAATCTTCCATAGTTGATTAGTTTATTTATTTTTGCTGTTGTATAGTGTAGTGGGGAAGGTGCTTGGCCTAGTTTAACTGAAGACGGCAAATTTGATGTAAAAATGTATACCAAATGCTACTGGTTTTGTTTTGTTTTTCTCCGTCCTGATATCTTTTGACCGCAAGTGCAACATCCTAAATAACTTCACAAGATCTTATTAAATGAGGAGTTTTAAGGTGATTTTTAGATTTCCGATCAAAATGGATTTGAGATAAGAATTTTTGTTTTCTCTGTTTCTGCAATTTTTATTGTTGTTTTTCATTTAAAACACTACTTATCAGTACCATTTTATTATTTTGGTAACAAAATGCTTGAACTTCTTTGTGAAGTCTTAGTAGTACGATATATATTTACAGTAATACATGGTGTGTTCACATCTTATAGCATAAGCTTGCTGCTTATCGATTATTTTTGAATCGGAAAAAGAAAAATTCCTGAGTAAGCTCTTCCACATTTTAATAATCTGTAGGAACTTTTCTTCCTCTTCATTTTGCAGACAAATATCACTAGACTGCATGTTCTTACAATCTCAGCAAATAATCGATTATAGCCTTCTATTGGGTCTACATTTTATAGTTCCTGAGAATCTCAAGGCAATTTCACAACCTCCTGGTACAATGCACAATCATGAGAATTTAGCTACTGGTGATGGTAGGCATCTCTTTCTGATTCAAATACCTTTAAAATGAACTTGTAATTTTTTTTACATATTTAATTTACTCACTTTTTTCTGATATCTTCCGCATTTAGTGATATGAATAGTTTTCTGATTAATGATTTCTTTAGCCAGCAACACAAATATCCAGTACAGTTTTGTGCATACTGCCTCCTCACACGAGTCACTCTAAAACACACACTACACAGGTTGGTCACAGTAATATCATGCACTCGGACTAAATACAAAAAAGGACTCTATGAAAAGAAAACCCGACAAATTTTATTAACAACTCAATAAGCAGCCTAGTTCTCATGAGTCTTTACATTTTTGACCAACTGACCGTAGTATTGGTCGACATTTTGTGTGCAACCCAAACACAAGCGCAGACTTGTAAGAATGAGGGTTCACAGTTGAACACCTCTTCTGATTGTTGTTTTTGGAGCTAAAACCCCAAGACTGAATGAGCTGGCTTTTGGTGGATACAGTTAAGTAATTTTCATAACTTAGAAATGGCACACACTTGAAGCATGAAGAAACAGTAAAGAAACATAATGAACATGACGGAGACTGGGGCACCTTTCCTCCAGCTAATTTGCTTCTATCACCAACCCAATTCCCTTCTTCACCTCCCTTTATCCTTTGCAGATATGAATAAAATGCTAGGATTACACTTTCCTCTTCCATAAAACTAATATAAGCAGCAGCGTCAATTCATAAATGGCCAACTCAGGTTAACTGATATTTTCGTTCTTGGTTGTTCTCCAGCCAGCTCAGCTGCATAACCTAAGACAGTGTTTCCTCTTTCTCCAGCCAGTTTGCCCCTAACAGGAGCCAAATTCCCATCTTCACCTCCCTCTATCTTTGTAGATCTTTATTAAATGAAGCATTACTCTTTCTTTTTAAGTAAAAATAATATGAACATCAGCAGAAATTCAAAAAGTAGCCAGCTCAGTTGGAATAATCCATTGCACAGTCTACCAAGACAGCCCAAGCACTATGTTGATATTCCTGATATTGGAGTAAAGCAATTTTCGAAAGTCCTTTTTCAATGTGTACATAGGAAAAGAAAGGATTTTCACATTCAAGCTCTTATAACCCTGCAAGAAACACAAACCTCCTTGGATGGTACTCTTATCAACAAGTTGATCTTGGTCCAAAAAAACTTGTAATCTATTGAATGCCAAATAATAGAATTGTATGGTATCGGTTTGGAAAACCATATCATATATGTATATAGACTGAGAAAAAAGAGGGATAATTCCTCCTATTATTTACCACGCTGACTTGACAGAAGTGTAGAAGAATATTCTGATCTAGTAAATAAAGCAGGAGATAATTGCATCAGTATATGCATGTCTGAGGCTGCTTATTTGGATTATCAGTCAATCTCATAACTACAATTGGAGTTAGCTATATGCATGTGCACCTCCATGTTTTTGTGCATGCTTCTGAAACACTGTATTTTTCTGAAATCTATTTGGTTACTTTTTGGGATTCCTTTCTTTGCTCATATTTGAAGTATTGTATATTTCAACTTATTCCAATTTGATCAGGTGTGACTTCTTCACAAGGTGAGCTTTTGATTCCTCCCAAAGGCCTTCTACTGGTAACTCATGAACCTGGCTCTGTCAGTACTGCACCAGGTCCTCACATCAGAGGAAGTACGTTGAAAGCATATTCTCTTGGTGACAAAGAAGTTGATCTTTTACTCCCTGGTACAGGAAGGTAGCTTCTATAATTTGCGCTTTTGCGCTTATTTTTTACACTTTGAACTTTTGCGCCATGTGCATTTGGATATCATGTTACCTTGGTATGTGTGGAATGACAAACTCTGAAAAAAAAATTATATTATACAGCCTAACCTACTAATTAGCTGTTATCTGATGTGCTCAGTTATGCTTATGTTAGTATCGCATCTGAGATGCAGTGCTAACTAGATTACCAATACCATAGAACTTAATAGCTTCAAAACTGTTGTTGGATTAGAGAGCAAATTTTTTTTGATCTGGCTTAGTGAATTGGCTTTTTATTAGATGCAGCTTCTGTTTGGATGTAAGAATTCAATATTCCTACTCTTAGTTTTTCCTTTTTGATTATATTCCTATGATGTGTAGTAGTTGTTCCAACAGCATTGAAACCATTGGAACTAGAAAAAAGCAGAAATGGCCGAGTTTGCTGGACTTTTATAAAATGAATTACTTCGTAATGATAACCAATGAACAACTTCTAACTTAGTTAAATAAATCAGCTAAAATTAATTTGCATTATAGTTTCAATTCTGTAACTCAAAATATTCAATATAATATCAAAGTGAAGAAATTTACTTTTCCACCTATATTTTATTTCTGCAATTCTTGTCACTCTGTGCCTTGATTTTTGCAACGTCGGGAACACTGATAAATGATAGGTTTTGTCATTGAGCAGCACATAGTCACTGTCAGTTGCTCTTTTCTCAGGTTAAGGGTGCAATTAGGAGTAAATATGCCAGCACATGCCAATCTTAAGCTTCTGCAGGATGAGGTCGATTCAACAGAGGTCGAACTTTTTGAATTTTACGACGTGGTTCTCTATATGGGCATAATTGATATATTGCAGGAGTACAATGTGAAAAAGAAAGTTGAGCATGCATACAAATCATTGCAGTTTGACCCTCAATCCATTTCTGCTGTTGAACCCAAGCTCTACGCTAAACGTTTCATCAATTTCTTGGAGAAAGTTTTCCCCGACCCACCATAAGGTTTTCCTCCCCTCTTTCTTGTCCATAGTCATATATCCTAGGAGGAAATTTTTTATTGTTTCTCTCCATGTTTTAAGAGCACCAATTCTTTTATATCCATTTGTAAAGTTATATAATCATAGAGACGAGTGCATCTGTTTCATGTATGGATATATAGCAATATTTAGCAGATGGGATCTATTTGTTTTGAATAAAAATGTCTCTGCTATTTAAGTTTTGCGATGAAACGGGACATGGTTCCTATCACTCTACATGGAGCACTCTACAAACGCGATGGTGAACCTCCGATTGAGTCTATGGAAACATCCTGTGCATGCCTAGTTCCAAGTTTTAGAGCTGATGTAAATTAAGCAATCTACGTTTGTTTTTTCCAGTGCACTTGTACATTATACTGAGAAGGGTCTAGAATGTTATTGCACGTCTTCAATAACTGATCATGCAGTCCCTATTTCTGGGTTTGGATTAGGTTTGCATAATATTGGGGACTAGCTGGGTCTTCAGATAGCTGTAAAAGTAGTGCTTTCATTAATTTATTCTATATATACTTGAGCACATGCTCAAGCGCTAGCTAGCCATCGAAGTGAATTACAACAGTGCTAACCATTCGTTTAGAACCAATCCACAATGTGAGTTCATGATCTGAATCGTTCATCATTCAGGTCCTTATTTAGACCCAAGGTTTTAAATATGTCTGATATTACCGAAATATCTCTTGTAATATCCATACGATGGGGTTGCCGATATTCAAAAGGAGAGGAAGCGATACCTTTTCGTGGAAGGGGAGAGGAAAGATGAAGCTTGATCGGAGATCATTTAGGAATTTAAGAGCATCCACAGTGGGGGGATGTAAATTTGGGGGGTGTAAAGTCACTTTTACATCCCCTTTACACCTCCGAGGGTGTAAATATGTTTTTTGCTCCAATTGGGGGTGTAAATTCGGGGGTGTAACTGTGGGTCCTAGCCTTTTATGTTGACTTTTCTTCATTTTTCTTCTCTTTTCTCAGGTGGGTTCCGCCTGCAAGGGATATAAAAATAGATGTAAATATACATTTTATTTTACATCTCCATTGTGGTGATGTATATTTACATCCATTTACATCTTCCCATTCGAGACGATTCCAGTGACTTGATGTGTATATTTAACATACACCCTTATATACACCCTCCATTGTGGATGCTCTAAGTAGGACTCAAGACCTCAACTGCATATGCTTGAGTCAAACAACATTCCCATCAACCCCAACCCTCTCACATGCAGCTCACATTTCACAACAATCAAATGTTTATATCAATCCTCTCACAAACTTGATTTATGGGACACTTATCCGCATAGAAAATTGAGAGTTCTTCCTCAGAATTTTTTCAAAAAAACTCACCTACAAAACAGAACCCAATTTTCACCTTGCAAAGACCCTTTATATTAAGAGAGGCAAATATACACTTCACCCTTCATTAAAGCAAAACAGAACCCAACTGACCAAAAAGAAAGTTACTAATTTCTGTATAATAACATACGGACATCCGCATAAGAGAATTTCTGTATATATATATATATATATATTATCGTGAGTTAATACGACACTAATCACTCGTTTTGATCTATTTCGAATGCAATTTTGTTGTCTGAACCGTTCAAATTTTAGGACATGATTCAAAGATTATTCCTACAAAATTTCATCCAAAAATCAGAGATTGTTTAACCACTTGATTATTTTCGTGAATATTTCATTGTCTTATCGAAAACATTATGTTTGTCTATTTATTTGATTGTATTTGGATAATTCTTTTTGAATTGAGGAATTTTTGCATCTTTCGATGATGATCTAAAAAAGTAAACCGATCGGCAACTTAATTTGTTTGCCAAACACCAAAATCTAATCAAACTTTAATTCATAACTGAAAGTTCGTAGGAAATAATAGACAGATTGGTGACTCTTGGGAAATGCTAAGAAAGGTTTTCTTTTTGTTTTCAAATTATTTATTATATAAAAGAAGAAAAAGTCTATGGAAATTATGTTCCAAACTTGAACCCAAAAGTCAGCAAATTTGAGACTCATCGCGACGGTGCCCCTACAGTTGCTTTTAAATAGGCGCTTCCCAAATGCAGCGATTGCCTAGAAAGAGCATCAAATTGATTCGCCTTATATTGGCTACAAAAGTATTTTCATAAAAGGATAAACACTTTTATTTATTTATTTATTTATTTTTTTGACAAAAACTACATCTTACAGGAATATCCCCAAATGCACCTAAATAAGAATTAAACATACGCATGTATAGATTTTCTCCTATACAAACGTCCAGCACGATAATAACATACGAACGTCTGCATAGAAGAAAAACTAGATGCATATATATATATATCATTCAGAAGATTTTCCATTTATGCTCCAATGACTCGCAAATCAACCCTATGCAGTATTGCGCACTCAATGGATAATTCGAAACTGCAGAGGCAAGCAAATGCGAGGTTCAGCATTCCAATATTAATAATTTCCAGCAAAGATAAAGAAACATAAAGCAAATACTAGATTGAAAGAAGAAACTAAAACCAGCTAAACGAGAAACAGTTTCGGTTGTAACTATTAACTAAGCATGTTTAATCAACTTAATTTTAGTTTATATTCCAAGAGAAATTCCAGCCATATAAATTTACCTGATATGAAATCATCTGTATACTCCTTACTGATTTTCCCATGGACCATTGCACCCACCTGATAAGAAGCAGTCATGGAAATTTCAAATACAAAATAGAGCATGAAGTGGAAACCTAAGAATTGAAATTCAGAATCTGAAACATACCACAAAAACAAGATTTAATTCATCACTGCCAGAATTGACATATCCATCAATGTCAACCAACTTTTCTGAACTATAAGAGAGACCTGCAATCCCAATACAGCCGGTATATTAGTCCTGGTCACTAAGCTCAGAACTTTAAACAGAGGTATACAACGCTCACCTACGACGCGAGAGTTGACAGGTAAATGTCGCGTTACAGGTTCCTCAATGACACGCATAAGAATTTCATTTGTATCTTTGTCACGAATGCATTTATGCCCTAGTAACTCCACTTTAGAATTTGCACAAGTCAAAAGACAAAGCCATGAGTAAGTTCCATGGAAATTATTTCGTGAATATATGTCAAATGGGAGTAGAAGCTAACTTACAGATGACTCCACAAAAGCGCTTGCACGTTCTTGGTATACGAACATGGGGTTTAATTTCAAATAAAACTCCTTGATCAGTTTTCACATACACAGCTCCTACCATACCGGCTTTATTAAGTTTGCTATCCAAAATCGCACGAAGAGCCTAGATGGGTCAAACACTAACAATCAGAAGTTATATAACCAAAAGCAATAAAGAAGCATAATATAGAGAGAGTAATAGTAAGACATAATCCAACGACAAAAACTTTCTTGTAACGATGATAACACTGTTTTGCTATTCACGGCCAACACAATGACAAGTGAAAAAATTATCCCATGTGTCATTGTGTTATTGGCACAGGACGTTGCAATTATACAGTAAGCCTTATGTTAATCTCAATCCCAAGACATGAATTTATGTGGTTGATGATATCCTATATTTGGTTAGCAAAGAACTTAAGCTATATAATAAGGATTTTATAACCTAAGAAATTAATTTTTTTAAGGTCTGATCAATGTCAATTGTAATTCAAGAATAAACCTCGTAAACCCGTCCAGGCCTAAAATCATTTAGATCCTTCTTTTGCTTGAGCAGGAAATCAGCGTCTTCTTCTGAATCCAGAATCTTCCACCTCTTTCGAACGAAGCCCTTTGTCAGAGAAGCATTTTCTACAACAAAAATTGCCCGGACCTTATCATTCGCATTATTACGTGTGAGTGTGAGTGCGACATCATCTTCTGTTTTCTCCATTGTTGTTGATTTCTCTTCTTCCAACTTCGGCTTCACCGTCCTACACCTACTGGAGCAATTCTGTGACTGTGACTGCAACATCTCCTCCTCCCTCGTCTGCCTCTCCATATTTTGTGCCTAGGGTTCTTGTCGTGGATATTAACAGGTAGAAGCCCATTTGAATTTCTATATTTTTATTTTGTTTTTCTTAATTTAAAAAACAAAAAACTTATTTTTTAAAGTTGGCTCTTAAAAAATCTGGCAAGTGATGATGACGTGACCTACAAGGCACTCGGTTTTCTTATGTGTAAAAATATAAAATAAATAAATAAATCTGGCAAGTGAGGACGTGACCTTTCACCTGTGGATCTCTTCTTCTTTCTCTGCTGCCGCCACCAGGAACTGCCTCCATTCCGTCCAGCACAGATAGGATCCACGCCACTGCCCTCATCTATCGACAACATCTCTCTCTCAACCTGTTTCTTTTGCTCTGAGCTCTGAGCTATAAACTCACTCACTCTATCTCTCTCTCTCTCTTCGGCTCCAAAGGTCTATCACCTCCACCGGCACCCACCACCGCATCTCTCCTCTCAATATATTTTCTTGTCTAAATTTCTGTTTGGTAGCTGAGAAAAAGGTATGGAAACAATTTTATATTTTTATATTATTTTCTCTACAGTTTCTGTTTGGTTATTTTTGGACGATTTCTTGGTTATATTTTAAGCCTTTTATTTTTTTTCTGTTTCTTACGACTGAGAAACAGAAAAAAATTGAATTTTGTGTTAAATTTCATACACTACTTTTACATATATAAGATTTATCCACACTATACTTTTCTTCTAAATAACTTTGAATATAACAGTTCTTAACTGGAAATATTACTAATACAGTGGAAGTCCACAGTCGACCATATTGGATATGATATATCATAAGTTATAATTTCTATGCCATATATATATATATATTTTTTGTGGTAATATAAACGATATTCTTTTTGGTGAAAGCAATTCGTGTAATTTGCTATAATTTCATTCCCGTACCCTCAATGGTTTATGTCTCTTGTTTGTTCCAGGACTGGAAATAGAAAAATGAAGAGACAGACCTTAGGGCCATGCTCAACACGTAATTCGAAGTCGAGATTTGGAGGGATCAAACAAGGTGAAGATGAACGGAATGATGAAGATTCTATGTACCAACTTCCTGGGATTCCACTTACTCCTTCCAATCAAAACATGAACCGTAGAGTTACTTTCGTTCTTGAAAAGGCTTCTTTGGTGCCTGCTTTTGTCGGAAGGGTAAACATTTTTATGATTGCACCAGGGTCATCCCTTGCCTCTCCTTTTCCAGTTTTAATGATTTTGAGTTGTTGTTTTTCTCTTATTTTCTGCGTAATAATTGTGATACTTCAATCCAATCACTGCTTCTGGTCCTTTGTCTGGTTCTTACTTTGTTCATTCTGATTTACCTTATATTTTCCTTGTTTCAGACATACCAGATTTTAAATCCACAAGTACATGCTGACTTCCTGCGGAGAAAGAAAATGGATCCTTATAAATACAGACCCGACATTGTTCATGAGGTGCCTAACGACATTGTTAAGTTTAGATGAATATTGGTAACTTCTCATTAAGGCACATCTTTCTCCAATAACGTGCAGAAATATACAACAATCAACTTTGAAGCTGTAGCCATTAGTCTATCAAATTATTGAATGAATATAATTCTTTAGGATTTAAGCTCCTTGTGGCACACCAATGACTAATTTTAAACCAATTGAGTAGAAAACACTGTACTTATTAAATTATTTCCTGGACACGGAAGCCATTGCCAGTTTACCAGTGACCTCAATTTGATGTTTTCTATCATGCAAATGCACTTTATTTTTGTCTCAACAAGTCCTTTTTGCAAATATGTTATGTTCAGGCTCTCCGTCAAATCATGGATACCCGACTTTGTAAGGCTGGTAGATTACATGCCGTGTATATTAAAACTGATGAAGGGGTGCTCATTAAAGTTGAACCACATGCTACTATACCAGAATCGTTGGAGAAGTTCTGTTATATGATGTGTTAGTGTTTCTTTGATAACATAGTGAGCTATTATTCTTATCTATTTTGGTCCACATTAAAAAAATAGTTACCATACTTCTATCTTTCTTCTTATATATCGCAGCACAATTATTGCAAAAGTTGAGCATTAAATCCACGGGTCGACGTGAAAGACTCTTGCGTGTGGTTAAGAACCCTATAGCTCAGCATTTACCTGCCAATTCCCTCAAGATAGGTAAGCGTCCGATAATGTGTGCAGGGTTCTGTTTTCATTTAAAAGCTTCTTTGACTGAAAACATGCTGTCACTTCAGGCCTTTCCATGAGTTCGCAAAAGGCAGTTGACTTACGGGATTATGTGCATGCTGTCAGCGATAATGTCAACCTTGTTTTCGTGGTATGATAGCATTATTGTTCCTATCATATGTTTTCATTACACATTTGGTATTAGGTGGTTCATCAGTTGATTAACTAACCTGAAGTTCAGGTTGGTGCAATGGCTCACGGGAGAATTGATAGCGAGAATGCGGATGATATCATATCAGGTTATGCCTCACATAACTTGTCTTTGTCTTTTGCTTTATACTATTCGAAGAGAAAAAATGTTGGTGTTTTTCAGAAGTTGATGGTAAAATATATAGTCAAAATATATATGAAGAAACGTGCTTAAAAACCAGAAAGGAAATCGTATTATAGTTAGGAAAGTTTACCCTAGGCTCTCCTTTGGTAATATTTTTTGCTTTGAGTGAGGAGTCCTGGTATCGGATTCCATCCTTCAAGGCTTTCTATTATTCTACTTGAAGTCTCGGCCAGTTTGCTGGTTCCTTTGATTGCTGTGATATTGTTCTATTTTTCGTTTCTCTTCGGGGCAAAAGTTCTTATTTCGTTTTGCTTTATGATTTTGTTTGTTAATAAATCTGTTTGTGTGCTTGCAGTTTCTGATTATCCTCTGAGTGCTGTGGTTTGCCTGGAAAGGATAAGTATAGCATTAGAGAGAAAGTGGAACATTCTGTGAATCAGTTATGATTAGTATTATTGCTCATGTCTGCAGCAGAAACAAATTTCGCTCGAGAGTAATGTTGTGGTATTGTTTGGTTTTGGATTACAATACAATAATCTTCTTGTTTACTTTATGTTGTTTATCATAAACGTTAGTACGTTGACAAGGTTTAGTATTTGATTGAACAAAATGATATGTGGATGATATATCCAGTGATTACTCTGGGAAGGTCCCTAAAGAAAAAAAGAGGTGAATCTCTGTTTGTGGCTCTGCTTATATTAGCTCTTCTTGTTGCTAGGCATATTGTTTCGATCCAATCTCTGCCTGAGACGAACGGTTGAAATGAATCAAGAGTCTTTATCATCCCACTGTCCCTTGCTCCTTCCCAAAGATTTTTCTTGTGCATAGAGGATGTCATTAAACTCACCAGCTAGTAACCAAGGCAGGTTCCAAGCACTTGCCATATAGATTCACCCTTCTAGATAGGCAAGGATGTCCATACACTGCTGTGAATAACCAGGAGGATTTTATGCTCATATTCCTCCAGAGAAGCCTTATAGCATCAAAGACTTCAGCATTGGAAAATCCAACTTGAGAAATCACTTTCCTAGCTTTAGTAGAGCTAAATCTAGGTTCAAAAATAAATAACCATAATATCCAACTTATTATATTTTTTTAAAGTCCTGCATGATTAATGATGAAAAAAGGTAAACCTGGAGCAGTTACAGGGATCTTATCGGACTGAACTTCTCCAGGCGGCTCAACTGCAATAACACCACCACCAGTACGAAGATGTTTCACCGCTCCTTCCTTCAGTATCTCTCTGCTCTCCAACCCACTGTGGGCAGAGAACACTAAGTTTGGCTTGATGCTCGCCACCGTAAGAATCAATTCACCACATTGTTACTTAGCTCTTTCAGTTTCTACCCAGTTTCCTTCCTTTCCTTTATTTCCTTAGTGATTGTTGGCTTTTGGTTGTGTCTTGGCTAACCACAAAATAGATTTGTAATATATTGTACCATATCAACCTACAAAAATATTATGAATCTATACTCTGTTGTTGCACTTCATCTTCTTTTTTTCTAGTTATATTCCAAATGTTGGTGCCATTACACACAAAATGTGCATGTGAAGCAGCCACTCCACATTTATTGACCACTTTGCTCACCACCTTAGAGAGGTTGGCCCCACTAATGTATGTGGAACCCATCAGCAAATGCAGTAATTGCAGCACTCTAAGAGAAAGAAAAAAAAAAAAAAAAGCTAGCTGGTTACGGCCTAAAGACGGCAACCCAAAAGGTCTTGGCAATTTTCACGCTGAAAGGTTGAAGGTTCAGGGGAAGAAAGCCTCTGCAAGGTACGTGGGAAAGGGTTTGATTCCATGAAAGCTTTGGCTTGGCCACATGAGGCATCACAAGGACAGAGAAAGGAAGGCGACTCAGTGTTGCAAGATTGCAGCAAAGAGGAGGAGCAAACCTCATACGAAAGGAATACAACGCCTTGGAGGATTTCTCCCCGCATAGGCTTCGGATGGACATTCTATAAGGGACAGTCAGACAAGAACCATATAAAAATAACACACATCTTCGATAATTGAGAACTGATTACATTATAACACCAAAAACTGTATTTACCAAATATTCTTACATTACAGGTACAAACGTGCAACCAAGTCAAGACATATTGATCGGAACGAAGCCATGTTCCATAAAGAATCTATTTGGAACCAATTGCAAACGACAATTTTGGCCGGGATTTGTTCTTACCCAACAATTTCATTTGGTTCACCCGTGCCTCCTCCTCCTCTTGTTTCTTCCTTCGCAATGCCTCTTCTTTTTGTCTCTGGAGCTCTTCTAGCTCCCTGTACCGCTCCTCCTCCCTCCGCTGCTGCTCCAAAGCTTCCCTTCTTTGAGCTTCTTCTACTCTCCTCCGGTTCTCTTCAAGCATCCCTTCCAATTCTTCTTTCTCTTTTCGAGCTTGTTCCTGTCAGCAAAACACCAATCATGTAAAACACACAAGAACACATCAATTACTCTGATTTTTTCAGCTAATAGAGACGGAGGCAGAGGATGGAATTGCAGACTACAAGTGTCATCCTATCTTGTCTGCGTCCCACACATCCCCACTGTAATCATGCACAGCATCCCTTTCAGATAATTAATACAACAGGACAGGTTTGGATTTTCCATTATCTTAAAGGCACATATCCTTCATGGTACTAATACCATTTTTGTTTTCTTTTATTCCTTGCTTTGAGTAAGCTCTAAACCATGTCACTGTAAGTTGAAACTTGAAACTAATCATCCTTCCCCAACTACACAGCCCAATAACTAAAACGACAATTGTATATGTTCAAGAAAACAGAAGATATGAGTCCAATCATCCCTAATGGTGATAGCACACAATGACTCATTAGTGTGTCACCACAACAAGAAGAGAAAATGAGATGTCAGACAAGCAACATGGTAGCCTAATTATTACCTCCTTATTTCTAGCCTCAATAAGAGCTGCTTCCTTTTCTTTCTCAAGTAGTGCTGCAACTTCAGTAAGAAGCTTCTTCCGTCCCTCCTCCAACTGCCTCTGTATTTCCACTTTAATCTCCACAGAGTTCAAGCTCTCTTCAACTTTCGTACGTATTGCTTCTTCCACTCTCTTTGAAGTCTCTTCTTCTAGCAGTTTCAATTCTGCTTCCTGTTGCCGCCTGGGAGTACAAGTGAAAAAGTTAAGCAATAAAGTGGCCTCTGAAATAAAAAGGGAAACTGCTGCCTGAGTACAAATAAAAAACCAATCAACATATACTGCTTCCTCTTTTTTATTACCCCTCCCCTTCTCTCGTCATTATCCGACTACAATAAATGACAAACTAACCTTCATGAGGACACAGGTACTATATATACGGTTATGCTTTTAAGGCATACCTCTAATGTATCCTGATCCAAACAAATGAGTTTCAAAACTGGTGAACAGTAGATAAACGATGCACCCATTTTGATCATCAAATATAACAAGTTGAACTATAGCAGTATCATCCTTCAGAAAATCCTGTGGAGGAGAATGTCAAGTAATCTGCTGCAGTTTTAAAACTAATCATCGAATTGCTTCAAATTTGAACTAAATACATTCTTTACATGAAAATACTACAGTTCTAAAATATATGACTTATGTGTGGTACTTCTTGAGTATCATGAGCACTAAAGCAATGACAAGACATTGGGAAAACATTTACAGGACAGAAACAGCAGTTCAACACTGATGGAGAACCAGGGTTGCAACAAGGGAAAATGGATTTAGGTCAGAAGCCAACACAAATCCAAATCTACGGAACAGGCAGACTACTACATGATTCAGTAGGCAGAGGATTTGTTTTTCTTTGGGTCTAAATTCAGTAAACAGAGGTTAACCTGCACTTGTCAACCCAGATGTTGCATGGGTCAGCTACTTAGGTACGGCGCAACATGTTGAGGATCTCCGAATAACTTAGGTTCACCATATCACTGGTCTTGGACACCAAAATAACTGACTAGCTCTTTCCAAATACTCCAAAAATGAAATTATGCAGAAAGATGATCGTGTTCTAAAAATGCATATATCTGGACACGCAACTGAAAGTAAATAAGCTATAAGCAATTATTTGCGGATGTGGAGAAAAGTATCATGTGTTGACTGGACACTGTGCTCCGAACATAAACTCCCAAAATTTACACTAAGGAACTAAAACATATGTATAGTTTGAGTGCGTTTTTCTTCATAAACCAGCCAAACTCAGGACAGATCTTGATTAGTTTTCGCATCAATTTATACTACCAAACAGCCTAATCCCCATCTGGTTACAATTGTGTAGGGGGCAAGAATGTACTCAACCCACACATGTGCTCCTAAAAAGGCCCTTGATTGCATTACTTACAGTCATAAGAAGATCAACAATTGTTAGAATCAGCTGCATGCAATCAAGAAGTCCAACTAAATTTTACATTATTGACTTTTGAAATCAAACAAATAACTGCAATCCAACTGTGAGTGATTCCCATAGCACATTTAGATGAATTCCAACTCCTATTGGAAATAAGATGGAATAATCTCTTCAAAAATGGAAGTTAGATATATTTGTCTACTTTCAGTAACAAGAGACCATTTCCTGTCCAATGGGCGTTAAAAACACTTGAAATTCATTCTTAAATAAATATAGAGCATGCTGGAATTAATTATAAGACCAACAATGCCCTATCATACAAATGTTCCTTTACCCAATTTAGATTCAATGGTTAAATACTTGACTGCTACAACTTATGATCTAATATCTTACGCCCATATGCAATTAAAATTATGTAAACAAGTAGTTAAGATTGATTTGTAAAACAGATTGGACAAACCAGCTCCACATTTAAGTCCATAATTCCATACATCAATTGTGCATCTCACATATTTACCAAACCAAAGTCATTAAAAGCACACAAAAGGACCCATTATGGACACAAAATTGACCAGAATTCATTACTTTAGTTCAATAACATTATAAAAATATTCTAACATCTCTTCAAAGATTTTTACAAAAATACAAACACAATTCATTAAAAACTATACAACAAATAGTTACTCTTTAAAGGTTAATTGATGAAGAAATCCATAGAAAGGACTACCAAACAGGCTCCAAAACACAATTGCAGGCCTCCCATCACTGAACAAAATCGTCCAATCCCAAATTACATCTTCAGCATAACTCAGTAAATACTTAAAACTGTTAGTCTACTCTAAATATGAACTTGATGAAAGGTCACAAGAAAATTTTATATGATAAAAGAACTTATGTTACATAAATGATACCTTTTCTTCTCTTCTTCTTCTTCCTTTCTCAATTTCTCGCTGGCATTTTTCTGCTCCAACAATCCAAGACTTGAAGTAGAAGATTTACGAATAGGAGACAATGAGGAGCTCCTACTTCTTTGTCTCTTATAACGCTTCAAGACTGGAGACCGACTTTTACGACGTCTTGGAGTTGGAGAACGACTTTTACGACGTCTTGGAGTTGGAGAGCGACTTTTACGACGTCTTGGAGTTGGAGAACGACTTCTACGACGCTTAGGGGAGATAGAACGACTTTTCCGTCTGTATTGGAAAAAAACAGTTATTAATATAAAAAAATTAAAATTTCACATGACTCCACATAATCAATAACTATCAAGCCAGTCCACCGGGTAGCACAAAATATATAGAAACATGTACAGTTACCTCATACATTGTTAAGTATAACCTTTGTGTGCTCCATCTTTTATCACATGAAGAAGCAAATGTCACAATCGAGCAACAAAAGGACACCCAACGGCACCCATCACCTGCTCACTTCCCATATGACGGGAAGAAACTGAGTTGTTTTAAATTCTTAGGAAGAGCATGCATCCTTATATCACTCTGACAACTCTATAATTTACTCCATATATGCATGCTAGACACTTATCCAATTATTTAGAAAGAATCGAAAACTGATTTTTCCAAAGGTCACATGTCTGTCAATGTTAGATCCAAACTGAGTCAACCATCAGATTTATGACAACATCAGCAATTCTTTGGCATTAGCATGACAGCAACCAAGCCTAAGGTGTACAAACAACAACGGTAGTTGAAAATCAGAATAGAAAACTCAGAACAGCAAATGTCAAAAGCATACCAAACGTAGGCAACGGAACTACCAATTCCTGTCCACTTGAAGGTGTAAAGCAAAAAAGTCAAATATTAGTGATTAGCATGCAGAATTTCAACTCAAAGCAATATTTCATGGAATGCCCCCATTAAGCTGTGCATCAACATCAACGTAGGAGGTACCGGGCAATCTTGAAACATACGAGTACATAATCATTTTCCATAAAACAAAATCATATGACTTCACGATTGGAAAAATGAAATAATGTTCTAAGAAAATAAATCTGAACAGCCATTCCCAAAGTCTTGGTCAAATATTAAACAAATTACAAACATCCCTATCCCCCCTGTAACTTGCAAGCCTACAAGTACGTAGGCTTTATACTTGAAATAAAAAGTACCACAGGATCAGGTATGGAAGAAGATGCAGACATAGCAACTTGGATATCATGTAAATCCAAACCGTATGAGCAATGAGACGCTTCAATCTTTCCAACAATTGATTGAGAATCAGTTAAATTAGCACAATAACGCAAGAATATTAACGGGATCACCTGCTATAAGAATACGAGGAATACGGAGACCGGCTTCTGTCTCTTCGGCTTCTCCTGCTACCCCTATGCCCCACTGGAGACGGCGAACGCCTTCGCCTATACGAAGGCGATCGTGATTGCGACCGTGCCAAATCACGAGGCATCCTTTCACCTCAACTTTAAGCCTACTGTGAATATTTCCTAGAATGAAACTTGAATACTAACAACAATTTTTGCTACTCTGCCCTATAAAAACCAAAACAAATCAACCATTATCAAGGAGTAGAGTTAAAGTCACAAAACTTCTACAAGTGAGAACCGGGAATATTTTTTATTAAAAGAAAGTCTAGTAAATCATAACAACCGATTAAGCATTAACAACAACAATGATTCTTAACGATTTCTTTGGTAGCTGAGGAACTGTCAGAAAAGATAATCAGATGAAAATAATGAGTCCCAAAAAAATTCATTATATCCACAAATTCAGCAGCAACACTGAAAAAACAACATTTTTTTCCAAATGAAAAATGCATAAATTAAACAAATAAACAAATATGTTCGTATGTTTAGGAACCAATGATGTTTGATTTGCTGGGTAACAAATCAAAGGAATGAATCAACGAAGAACAATCCACCTAAAAATACAAAATAAATAAAGAAATTGATAATTTTTACTGACAATTTAATCGCCGAGAAACTGCAAAGATAATAAAGCCTTTATCATCAATCTGGAAATAACCATCCACAGGATAAAATCATTTCGGTCCTTTAATTTTCGAAGAGAAAATTAGAATTATACCTGTGAAACCTCAGACCAGATGGTACCTAAGAGAACAATAGAGGAGATCAGAATCGCCCGCGTCTGGCATGAAAAGTAGCTGAACAAAACCCTAGGATAGAGAGTATTGTATCAGGGCAGAATCAGATACTGAATATGCAAACCCTGGAAGAAGAAGAGGGGGCAGAGAGAGATTTTGATAAGAGTTTTGGGGTTGGGATGAAATATGAAAGATTGAGAGGGCCTTTTTCTACTGTGCTAAATTTTTCTCCCCAATTATATCACAAGTTAATTGTACATTTGCTTGCAAGACATGCTAGTAAATATCACCGAATTCGGGCTCAAAGTTTTGTGAAATTCCAAAATCAATCTGAGCCCGGCCCAATTCCAGGAAATGCACTTAGTTAATACAAATATTGAGAGTAAAAATTATTAAAAAATAAGGATAATATGGTAAATTCACATTTTTTATTGCTGTATATTTGCTGTATGGATGAATCGTATCGTATAGTATCCGTGCAACATAGGTGGAGGCTGACCTTAAACTCTGTCACAAAAACCTACCCAGCCGTTCCCCACTCTCCTCCGCCTAGACCACGCCACCTCCTTCCTCTCTCTCTCCGTCTCTCTCTAGGTTCCTCCTAAAGAGCTTGCTATCTCTGTCTTCTAAAACCTTAAATCATTTGTTTAGTTGACCTCTGTGAAAAAAGTGCTTGCAAACTCGAAAAATTTTCAGTGATGGGCAAGCCAGGTTCACGGTAATACTTCCATTGTGCACAAGCCCTTGCTTTTTTCTTTTTTTTTTTCTTTCTCGCCTTCTCTCTCGGTTAAAGTTTTGTTTTTTCTCTGCAGCTCAGAATCATCGACCAAAGCCGACATCAAATTCGAAAAGAAGCTCGAATTTTATGCTAGTAAGTTTGGATTTTTAATTCACTTTTCTGTTCTTGTTGGGTTTTACTTATTTAGTCTGTTCTTGTTTGGGTTTATGTAATTGTAGTCTCTGTCTCTCGAAAATGGATAATATCAGTAATATTAGTAAATATTTTCATCCCCAATTAATTTACCTTTTTAATTCTGAATGACCAACATAATTGCATTCCATTTTTATTTTATTTTTCCAAATATAATTTTTCAATGAACAATGCAGAGGTTAGAGATACAGTTTCTGGCTTGGGTGCCCAGAAGGCTATTGTGAAGGTGAGGATCTCTAATTCTTGTTCAACTTAATACCAATGCCTTACCCACATTTTGTTTAGCGAATGTTGTTATGGTGCATAATTTTACTCGGTAGTTTAGATATGAAATTTGATGAGATAATATTGGAGGAGGTCAGCAATGTCTTGGGATATAATGTATTTGAATTCTCAGATCCCTTAATTGGGGACGGCATTAACATGTAGTGTTCATGGTTAGTTGCTTTTATCTGAACTTATGTAGTGATGATTTGCCTGATGATTCTCAATCTGGCTTTGAGAGGTATATTTATCCTTGTAAATTTTGTTATTATGCATGAGAGGAAGAGAGAACGTGAGCTGCCAACATGTAACTAGGGATTTTAGAGCGGAACAGAAATTGTTAATGGACGTTGTGCGGTGATCAAAATCATTGAACGAAACAGAATAAGAAGCTACACCATGAAAATAGACAGATGATGTGCTTATTTAAGAAAAAAGGCCTCATAAAAGAGCAGCACAAATTGAATTACTGAGGAAGTTCCCTTCAAGTCTGGATGGAGAGAAACAGTAATCACATTGGCACACTTGTAGTATCAAAACCTGGGTTGAGGGAAGTTCAAGAAGCTCATTATGCCTCAATCCGTTGGATTGAGCTTCAGTTGGCCAACTAACCCAAACTGCATGAGTTGCAGCCCTAGGTTTAGTGGACCGAAAAACAGATAGGAATAACATTTTAGAAGCAAGGATTCATCAATCATGTGAGGACATATGTTGAAGGGATGGAGGCAACTGATTAGAGAAAGGGGAGGCATCGGGGTTTTGGATGAAAGATAATTAGCTTTGGAGGTTGGGGATAAAGTAGTGCACTCAACACTTAGAAAGAAACCAGAAGATGCAAGAATGTGAGAAATTGGGTGTTGGATTTAGTTTGCTGGGCAACTTAAAGCTAAGGATTTATGGATTGCAAAATGGCCAAACAAGGAAGGTTTGACAGGTCTAATCAATAGCATGTCTTTGTTGCTTATTTTAAAGAAGCCTAGAGGTATTTTGAGCCAATTTAAAAGGCTCAAAATGGGGCCAACAATTCTTAGTGCTTAGTATTAAGAATTGAAACAGGGCCCAACCTTCAACTCGTGTAAACAGTAAACTGATGAGACTTCCCCCTTTCTACTTAAGGCTATTTCTAACTTCTTTCTAGGGTTTTCTACCACAAGAAAAAGAGCTCTATTCGGGGAAATCGATACATGTTCAAGAAAAAGTTAGATATGTTATGTAGTGATCTGAATTTCCACAAGGCATAGTCAAAAACTAACTTCGTCATGATTTTTTTATTTTCTTTATGTTATTGATTTTACTTAAGAAAAATGATAATTAATTTGTGAATAATTTTCATAATGTTTTGTGTGGTAATGCGTAACTTTATCTTCTACCAGAAGAAGAAACTGCGTAGCCGACAGAAGAAACTGAAAGCATATGATCTCTCTTCCTTCTCAGAGTTTCTGCCTGAGTTGAAGGCTAAAAAACAACCCACTTCTGAGTTCAAGCTAAATTGCAAATCCAAGAAAACCCTAATGTAAATTTACAAGTTCTTTGATTACATTCCTGTTGCAAGCTTTACTTTTCATTTTCACTGTGTCACAGTTAAGTAATATTGGATTCTGTTTTCATCAGATTGAAGGAAGGAAAGCAGTTGGCTACAGTTCTTGGGCATCCCGCTTTCAAGTCAGATCCCTTAGCTGCAATTCAACAACACTTGGAGAGGACACAGCCAGTGATAGAAGTGAAACCAGAGAAACGGAAAAACAAAAGTGGAAGCAAGAAGAGGAAAGACAAGAAATTGAAGGCTTCAGCCGGCCCCCAATCTATGGATATGTGAGTCAATATGCACACTTTTCATCTGATCCACCGTGATGATGACTCAAATTTGTTCAAATCACATTGCGAATGTTCCAACGCTTAAATTTTGAATGTAAAATTTTGTGGATTTTGCTGAAACTTGTAAATGGTTCAGTTTAGCCCCATTTCCATAGGATCCTTTTGGTCTCAAGTGTGTAATTTACCTACTTGTTGGCACGTGAAGAAATGAAACAAGAAAAGAAGGGAAAATATTTGTTAATTCCACATACATACTTTGATGATTTAGGAACAAGTGAAACACTGATCTAGATTTTTTTATTTTTTTTTGGTTAAGGGAAAAAACAAATTATAGACTGCAGCATGTCTCAAAAGCGTTTTGGTCCGTAAAAAAGTTCATGCACCCTGAAAGAAAAGTTTGAGCTCAGGCATATTTGTTTTTGTGCCTGGTATCAAAATAATCCCTAGGGCTGAGTTAAAATGATCAAATTAGTGCAGATGTAGGTTATGTTAGTTGGCAAGGGCAGTGAGTAAGCATGCCTTCATTGCACTTAAGTTTGAATCCTCCATCTCATGAATTAGATTAACTTAAACTAATTTAGACTATTGCTTGTATTTTTTTTTTTTTTTAAAAAGGTGATCAAATTAGCTGGACAATTCGAGAAGATCAGGCTGGTCCTCTATCATTTTATCTTTTCTATAACCCTCGATGGTGACCCTTGCACTTTTGTGTTAAAATCTCCCTCCCTCAATATTGTTTTACGACGAAGAAAAAAAGAAACTGGATGCTGAAAATAATTGGTGAGGGCAAAACGGTAAGAAACTAATTTATGCCAACGGTACAATGTCGCTTCAACTTCAAGCCTACTCAATTATTGAGGCTCCAAGTAGTCAACAATTCACCATCATAATTCACCATCAACGGCTACCCACCCTGCCTTTTCTCTTTTTCTCCAAATAATAAAAAAGGTACCACAAACAAAAGACTGCCCTCCTTGCACTCTCTGCGGTTGCTTCCTATATCAATATCGTCATAAACCATCATTATTTTTGTTATTTTCCTCATTCAAACAGTGAGTGTGGGAATATGAGGTGGATCTCATTCACGCATCCTTATAAAAAAAAAAAGAACAAAACTAAAAAGAAGATAGAAATTTTATTCCAAAATGTATTATGCAGAGACTATGATCTTTTAACACTAGAAATTATCAATTTTTTTGAGTGCCAAATCCTTGGAAACCACTTTAAATGGATCCATATTTTCACACTGCCAAAAACCAATTTTAAAGATATGAAAATTAAGCAAATACAATTATTTATGGTTCTCCTTCCAATTACAATTTGATTAAGAAGGGTGAACCTTGCTAGTAGAAATCCCCTTCCAAGCTGATTTCATGGAAGCAGTGGCTGAGTTGAGAGCCGCCTCAATATACCTCTTGGAAGCAATAGTGGCTGCATTCTCCATGAACTTCCCCATCTTCCTTGCACTTTCTGCAGTGGAAACTAAGCTGTCGAGCTCAGCCTTGGAGATGGCTTCCATTTCCTCTTCAAAACGTCTGAACTCATCCATGGCACTCTCCATCACTGAGTCCATGTAGTCCTCGGCTTCCTGCATGGCAACCTCAGCTGCTTCCACTTCTTGCTGCTGTTCCAGTTCAACTGCAGCCCATGATTTGTACGCTTCGATCTCGAAGAGTTTCATCAGGTCTTCGATCGTGGCGGGGTCGAAGCTTTTGTCTTGCAAGGCTTGGTTTGAGAGGAAGCTGAATTGGGCGATTAGATCTTCCATTTTCTTCTTCTTCTTGTTGTGGTTGCAGTGGTTGTTGTTGTTCTTGTTGTTATGGGAGTGAGATATCTAGGGATGAGAATATTATTGTAGATCTAGCTTTAAGCTTAAGTCTATGTGGAAGGGAAAGTGGGTATATGAGAATCATATAATGGAGAATACTTTAGCCACTTAATGTATATATAAAGTGGATAGGATGCGACAGGAACCTTGGAACTTTATGTTATGGGGGTAGAATTTGGCCATAAGATCACGTGATGAGACAAAGCATGGCCAGTGGTGGACAGGGTTCAAGAACCAAATTAATTGTGATGGATAAAATAGTTATTCGGCTTCATTTTCTGCCCGTTGATGATGCTATTATAAGTCGCGTGTGGACGCATGATAAAATTCCGGCCTTTTGACTTGTGTGTGGGCATTATTACGGTATTCACAATAATCAAGAGTTCAGACGTTGTCACGTGCCCATACACACACAAGTAACACTATAACTCAAATTATAAGTATTCTCGTACTTCATATTTCGGATTTTAGTTTAGATTAAGGAAAAAGAAATACAAAAGAGAAAGTTCTCTAATAAGATCAATACAAGTCCAAGTATTAGAAGCCCTAACATCTCCACTTTTTGACGAAATTAATATGAGTATAAGCTCTCTGTTTCTTTATATGAGTTTCTAGGTTGATATTTCTAGTTCAAAATGAATTTCTAGGTTATCTAATTTAGCCAAGTATCTTGAGGTCTAATCTTTTATATGCACAACACAAAAATGGAGGAAAGGTTGAAGCTTTCTTATCCTTGAAGCTCTCTTGGATGGTCTCCAAGTTTTCACCTTTGGAAAATGCCTTTCTCCATATCTTGCTTTATGAATTCTTTACAAGGTACCAAAGTAGATACCCTCTAATTCACCACACTAAATGTTTAGAGAATGAAGAAAGAAACAACCAAGAGAGTGGATATGCTAGACTCCTTCTCTTGGTGACCGATTTTAGCAAAGGTAGAGGGGATGATTTCTCCTTCTTCTCAACACCACAACCAAATTTCTTAGGAGGCTAAACCCTAACTCGAGAATAGCCTAAGTGTGGCCTATGTAGGCCAACACAAAGGATGAGGAGAAACCCCATGGTGGTGTTTGGGCTCCTCTTAGGCTCACTTGAATTGTATTGTCATACAATACTTGTTCCTCGACCCAATAGATCCTTGGGTATTTTCCTTTTAGGCCTAAAATGACTTTAAATTCCAAACCGAGTCCACTGTCAAACTAATTTCGTAATTAACAATTTAATTATGATTTGTGACTTAACCATTAAGTCATATCCTTAGTGCAAATAGTTTGACTTGGTCAACCATTTTGGTCAAATGCGTTAACTTTGACTAGACTGTTGACTTTCAATGTCTTATCTTTTATATTGATTTTTGCACCATTAATGGTGGCTTGTCCAAGCATGGCCTTTTCTTCGACAAGTTGGTATAGTATATCTTCATAGTTTAAATTGCATTTCATGCAGTTGCTAAGCTTTTTCCTTCTCCGTCTGACTTTCTCTAGCTATCGAAGTCAACTTCGAGTTTTATCTTGGATAATTGCGTCATTAATCGGGTAAAATAAATTTTGAAATATAAATAACGGCTTTATTTTGGAAATTCAGAAACATTGGCTCTAAGTGAAATGGGCGTATATCACTTGCGTTATTGTAAGTGATGAAATCTTGTTTGATATTCTATAAAAGATTTCCAGTTTGATTGCGTTCAGTGAACTCACTATCTAGCAAACACCTACACACTTATCTTAGTATCTCTACAAGAATGACTCGAGACTAGTCACCCTCCATATGGAGCATATATAGTGTGTAACAGTCGTTGCAGTTCATCAATGTCTAATTGAACGATTTTATGACCGGAAACTTTCATGGTGTGGGTTACAAAGAGAGGTTTCTCCACATCTAACATCTTTAGATCACCTTTCTTATCTCACGAATCCATGGACTTGTCAATGGGCTAATGATCACCGTCTGGACTATTACTTGAGTTAACATATCTGCCTTTAAGTGCTTAACCTAAATGGTTAATTTAAATGAAGTTTCCATGAAAGATTTAATCTAATGATTGGCTTTTACGGCACATTTCTAACACATAGCACATGACTTAAATTGACAGAAGAATGGATGGAAAGTGATGGATTTAGATGTCAGGGTGAACATTGGAGGAAAAAACTAGTTTTTGGGCACCTCGAACTGTGTAGCCTTAGACTTGATCAATATCTTGAACAAGCTAAGTCAGCCTGAAACCTGCAAAATAATGTCGAACACTCAAAGGAAACAAGAACACAAAGAACACTCAAGAACACTAAAAGAGATTTGGGAGAAACAATACTTGTATTGCTATCAAGAGAACTACACAACTCTGAGATGATTTGGCCAATCCTAGTCTTGAAGCGATGACCAGGATTACACCGATCTAACGATGAAGCACATTGTTTGTGCAAATAATCTCGCGGGAGAATATTCGCCTTGTGATCCTTCAACCTTCGATCTTCCTTTTCTCTCTTCCCCGATTCCTGTAAAAAAGACTGGAGTAAATATACCATACCCGGCGGGTGTTGGCCAAAGGCCCTCCGATGCCTAAGTTAGTTCAAGTGTTTGTAGGAAAACAATAGCTAAGTAAAGGGTACGGAGTTATGTTTATGGTGTGAACCGGGCGGCCGGAGCCTTGTGGAGAAAATAGGGAGAGTGGAGATGGAAAGAGAGCTTCGGGTATTTTTCTCGGGTTCTGGAGAAGGTTTAGATGTACCTTGAATGATGAATGAGGTCGTCTATTTATAGGAGCATCGGGGCTATGGTTTCATAGAGAATATGCTAAGTTCATTATCTACCCAAATTCGTAGGGATCGAGTCGGACTTAGATAATATCTGATTTAATGATATTATCTTCTCTTTATTGAAGATAATATCTGAATTAAATGATATTATCTCTTTTTATGAATATAATATCTGAATTAATGATATTATCTTTTATTTATTAGGATAATATCTAAATTAATGGTATTATCTCATTAAATAAAGATAATATCTTATTAATTAAGATATTTATTCCAATTAATTAATTGGCCAGATAAACTGGTTCAATTAATTAATTTAAGAGATAATCTTCTTTTTCACGTGGCGTGCCCTGATTGGAGACGAAAATATATGCTCCCACACACATTACAAAGGAATGTCATACATCGTATCTAGACAGTACAAAAAGTCAACTCACGTATTCCAATATGTACAAATATATAACGGGTTGGGCTATCTAGAGTGGGCTTGGCTGAAATGGGCCCCTCATAAGTGCAGGCTACAGCCTCAAATAGCGGGTCCATGACAATATAGGCAACCTAAAAGTTAATAATAATTATACAAATTTATAAATAAACCCAATCCTAGACATGTATTTATAAAAAAACCCTAACACTATTTAAACATATAAACACACCCAAACTCAACCCCAAAATCAACAATTGTATATTTTTTGGGTGTGTTTATAAATGGGTTTTGAGTGTGTGTAATGATGGGTTTTGGGTGTGTTTATAAAGTGTTTTGGGTGTTGGGTTTTTTTATAATTTCAGCCCCATTTTGGGTGTTTTAGTGAAACCCCCTAATAATTAATGAAAGCTGGTGGAATAAGTGCAAATGTTAGGGTTAGATTTAAATAAGTCAAAACTTGAGAGGGATCTACATGAAATTAACCCTAGTAAAGGGTAAGAAGAAATTGAGAGAAGCAAGCAACTTGAGCGCGATAGATCCGAAGTGTTTATGCTGGTTTGGTCTTCGCAATCTTCAAAGATCAACTGTTTATTCTGGTTAGATTTCTTAACTTAATTTCTGTGGGACAGAGAAAAACGGAGAGAGAGAGAGAGAGAGAGAGAGGAACAGAGAAAGGGAATTGCGATGACGAGTACGAGTGCGAGTGGGAGTTCGGTTGCCATCATCTTCTTGATCCTGTGCTTGGTACGGACGAATCAAGCCATTTGGTTGACCTTACCCTCCTCCGGCACAAAGTGCGTTTCTGAGGAAATCCAGAACAACGTCGTCGTTTTGGCCGATTACGTCGTCATTCCCGACGATCACTCCCACTCCCCCACCATCTCCGCCAAGGTCTGTTCGCTTCAACCCCTTTTCTTTAAATTCAGTTTGGTTTGATTTTAATTTGCTTTAATTTCGTGTATTTCATGTTGATCTTTGAATTTAGCCATCTTCTTGTGGGCATTGCATTGAAGCTTTGCCTTATCTTTTGCTTTAAGGTTTTCTGGAAACCCAAAAAAGAGAGAGGGGGGAAGGAGGTCTACGATTCAAAGCCTAAACTCTTTCAACAAGGCTTTGATGATTTGATATCTATGGGCTCATAAAATGGAGTGATTTTATAATGCATATCCACATAAAGGTCCAGAATCCTTAGCTTGAGTAGCTTATTGAAACAGCTTTTGGCTTGAAGTCTTTGGATGTCTGCTATGTGAGCTGCAATTTTTGTGTGGGGGAGGGGAGAGTTGAGTAAATTTCTGTTTAACTTTGTAGACCATGCTGTTTATATACTTTAGCGGTCAAAATGTCACCATGTTGGTGTGCACTAGAAAGGAAAAGGCATAAGCTTTCTAATAGGTGACATCCTAATTTAATTGGAAACAGGAAATTAAACATCAAAACTAATATTCTAGAAAGTCAGACATGTTAGGTAATAAGTGCCATGTGGGTTTTAATTTTCATCCCTAATTGTAAGTACGTAGATGCATATATTATCAATAAAATCCAATGTATAGTGGATTGGTTTTTCTGTCCTTGTGTAAAATTAAGAAGAAAAGAAGATTTAAAATGCAATAATCGGATCTTGTCTTCTACTTTATATGTTTCTTGCTTTTTTTGTGTGAAAATGGAATCAACTTGGGATTCATATTGTGGACTTATTTATCTTTCTGCATTGTCTGCATAAGTTTAAATAGATTCCGATGCATCAATCCATCAAAGGTATACTGCATTGGTATTTGACAGTGGCAACCTTAGCCCTTGTTCACTTTGCTGTGGAAGTATCTCCAATGTGGTCAGCCAAACACCAAGGACTTGCCAGGTTCTAGAACAAATACAAGTTCTGTCAAGGAAATTGCTTTGATCTGCAAGTTTGGTTGCAGGATTACGTTCACCTTTAGCCGGGTCACAAATTTTTTCAACAATAAGACCGTTGGCCATCTTAGTGGGAGTTAGCAAGTCCAAGGGATTCTCTGGCCTGTATTGGGAACAGTGGTTGAGTGGTTGTTGTTCATTGGTATCAGCTTTGTTTGAAGTGTACTTTTTTATATTAACAATTCTTCTCTAGAATTCTAATATTAGCCTCCTTGAAAAAAAAGAATTCTAATATTAGCCAACAGGAGAAAAGATACATTTTGCTAGAACATTAGATGCTTATACAATATTCAATCCTGTTATTACTTTGTTTCATTCAAGTTAGTTGAGCTGTAGATTTTGACGTATGGATAACTCTAAATTGCAAAAGGAAAATTAAGTTTTAAAGAGAAAGTAATTACATTGACGAGTTCTCTATCATTTGACTTGGATATTATGTTTTCATTTGAGATTTTTTATTCTTGTTCTTTAGGTGACATTGCCTTATGGGAACAATCTTTATCACAGGGAGACTGCAACTTTAAGCATTCCCACCATTACCCAATATTTAGTTGATTGGCTCCTGCCCTTTTGTAAACATTAAGGAAATAGGAAATCTAAAATGTAGTAGTAATGACAATGCATTTTTCATTGGTGGTGGAGTACATTTAACCTTGGATCTTGGATACTACTTGGATGCTTTTGTTGCTGGTCAGTTGTCAAAGAATTTCCAATGTGGTCGGCCATTTACCAAGGAGTTTCCAGGTTCTAGTCTCTAGCAAAAAAAGGTTATGTCAACTGTCAAAGGGGCAGTTGCTGAGATCTGCAGGTTTTGGCTGCAGAGTCACTCAGACCTTTTTAGCAGGGTAAAGCTTTAAGTAAATCTGTTAACAATAAAACCATTGGCCATCTTAGTGGTTTCTAGTAAGTCCAAACGGGTTCTGGTCTGTATTGGGAAATTTTATATTAGCATTTCTCAGTTTTTCTTCTCTAGAAGTAGGAAACTTGACAGAAGGTATTATCGCTGAACATCAGATACTTACATGGGATTCAAACCTGTGAGTTGATGTCTTAGGAGGGACTTAGCCGACTTCTTGAGCAAAGTTTTTTTTGTAGTCAAGTTAATTAACCATTATATTTTTCAGCTATGGATAAACCCTTTAGATTGCAAAAGAAAATATTACTGGACAAATTGGAAATGAAGTGTTAAACAAATGTTGTACCGTTTGACTTGTGTAATTACTTTTTCATCTTAAATTTGGTTCTGCTTTCTTCAAACTTTAAATAGTACTTCTTGTGCTTCCTTTAGGTGACATCACCATATGGGAACAATCTTCATCAAAAGGAGAATTCAACAAATGGTCAGTTTGCATTCACAACTCATGAGGCTGGAAACTACCTGGCATGTTTTTGGGTTGATAATAATCCTGGAGGTGGTGGAGTAAGTGTCAACATTGACTGGAAAACTGGAATTGCAGCAAAGGATTGGGAATCAGTAGCAAGAAAAGAGAAGATTGAGGTAAGCACTTAATTCTTTTTATAGAATATACATATACATATAGGGTTAGGATCCTGGGACAAAGCTCTTTACAAACGTTTTCACACTTCTTTATAGCCTTTAGATATTTTAAAATCCAAGGGTCTTACATAAAGGTTAAGATGATTCTCTTTATACTACGAAGTGATATGGCAATGGCATGGAATTTAATTAAACTTTCAATTAATAAAATATGTTGGTAAAAGAGTAATATGCGAACAACGTAAACACCTTCAGCCTCCACCCTCTTCTATACCCTACACCATTGTTACTTCCCTGCCATAGACCTCCATGTTAGCAGAAAGAAAAAACTTAATCTCTGCCATAGTTCCCCAAGATTGATGGGCAATTTATAAGTTTGTTCAATGAGAAAATTACAACAATTTAGCAATCTAATAGAAGATCTACAATTTGTTTCTATGCTTGGTTTTTGTGTTAACGCTTTAATTTCCCAACTTCTTGATTAGGAGTGAATTTTGCACTTCTTATAGAGATGGATGGATGGATCTCTATCTTCCATTCCAAATCATGATGATTGTTTCCAATAGTTGTGATAGGGCCAGTCACTGAACTTTTGATCAGGCTAGTGTTTCAAATGATCTACACAATAGAGACAATAAAACTATACAAGTGTTTACTCTTGATTTTTTTTTTCGAAGTTTATTAATTCTATTGTCATATTGTTCAAAAAATTCATCTATGGCTGAGAAGTTGCATATCTGCAACGGAAGATAAGCGTTATTAAAGAAGAAAAGAAAAGAAAAGATTGAGCTAATTTTCTGTTTACACAATTCTTTTTTTCAAATTCTTTAAACTGATTTTTGTTTTTAATTTCCATGTTATTGCCACATCATTGATTGTGTGATGACAAACATCTTGTTTTCTACTTAGGGCCCTTGGATGTAATTACATCTAAACCCTCGTATTTTGAGTCTGTAAAAAAAAAAAAAAAAAGAAAGATCTAAACCCTATGTGTAATTTTTTTTCCCAGGATGCTGACCTATACTTATATGTGTGTATTGCTTTTAGTAATGGTAACATTTATCCATGCCTTGCACTTTCCAGCTTCAGTACTAGTGTATATAGACTCAATACGTAGAATGCTGGTCTCTTAGGTGCAGCATATGCTACCTAGAGACCATTAGCTGGGCTAGTTGGTGCTTTCATACGACTATTGTTATACCATTCCCATTGCTACTAAAGTTTCCAGCAATCTTTACTTTCATATTTTCTTTTGCATCCCTAATCTTGATTTTGCTTGTTTCTATGCATCTGCCCACCAGAGGTAGATCACTATAAAGCTAAACTAGCCTAGAGAGGTGAATAGGTGTCTAATCAGAATTTTTTGAATCACTCAGAAACACAATATTAACTAATCTAATTGCCATCAAATCATCCTAACAAATATATCAACAAACATACAGCTTAAGCATGCGATGGAGTTAAGTCTTGAAGCTACCCAAGCCTATATGAATGTTAGAAAAATGTATACAGAAACTTGAATTGCTTGGCACACAGTCAATCACTAATCAGTAAAGTAACATGCACAAGCCTTTACATGAGCAGCCTAAAAGGGAAAACAACGAGATCCAGCAGCAAAATTCCACAACAAAAGCTGGCCAAAACATAAAAGCCCACCATGAGAATAACATTAACAACCAAATGAAACTCCACATTTGTACTTGCACAACGATTCATCAAATGATCTAGTTCTGTGTATACAGATTTTTTTGTTTATTCGGCCCTTGACTAGAAGTATTATTTTCTATACCTTGACTCATGATGGACCTAAATTATTTTCTAAGGTTAAACAGGTCTCATACAATAGATGCACTCATCTCTTTTGCCATTGCTATGGTTTCTTCAAGTGATCTCAACTTCCACCCTCATTCTCCTGGACAAATTCCAAGGGAAGAAAAAAAAGCTTCTTTACGGAATTTATCCATCTTGATCTCCACCAAGACACAAGTTCTTATGCAGAAATTATGATCAAGATCCTAAAGTTTGTATACCTTTTATGGCACTTCTAAGAATCCCAGTATATTCAGAAGTAGGTTGTGGCTAAGTGGGGAGGTTTTAAATCAATAAAGAGTGCAAAGTACATTGAAATTGACATTCCAAAAATTGGCGTTACTATGAAAACTCTCTGTGAGACACCATTTGAATGAGAGGAAAAAAAAAACAATTGAATGAAAATTTAAAATGTATTGGGCTATAGGCTCAATCGTTATTTATCAGAAAATTTGGCCGCTTGATTTTTTGCTGAAAATCTGCCTGCACAAATACCTTTCACAGATGTGTTATATGACAAATCCCATTCAGTAATGGGAGAAATAGGAAACCAATAGTTAACTTACTTCAATATGCAGCAATGCTTGATCTTCTGTACAGTTTTTTGGGATTCAACTTCACTTAGAATTTTCACCAACTTGACAAAACTAAAAGACTCGAGTGTTTTGGATAATTAATAGCCAACACGGACATGGACTAACATTGCCCAAGTATAGGGTCTTGAGCTTGAGCTGCGGAAACTTGAAGGAGCAGTGGAGGCAATCCATGAGAATCTACTCTACCTCAAGGGCAGGTAATGTTTACCTACCTAATAGGAATGCATTCTACATTTCCTGTACTGTATTTGTGCTCTAACTTATTCCTTGTTTTGTTTTGGATGTATTCTCAGAGAATCAGAGATGAGGGACGTGAGCGAAAGAACTAACGCGAGGGTGGCATGGTTCAGTATGATGTCCTTGGCTGTCTGCATTATAGTTTCAACTCTTCAGTTATGGCATTTGAAGAGTTTTTTCCAAAAGAAGAAGCTTATCTAAGTTATGCCACACTAGTTATCTATGTAGATGAAAATGATATTGAGAAAACAAAATTTGAATGCCATGTAAACCTATTATTTCAAAGAACTTCAGTTTTCTCTGTTTTTTTCGAAAGAGACTTGAGAAAGGGAAAATAGTTAATAGATTTTAGTTGACTGAGTAACTGATATCCATTTGTATAAGTGATCTCTGATTGCCTTGCTAAAATACAGAATTGCCTAGTGCTGACCAAGCTCAAGCATGAGTTGTCAACCAGTAAACTAATGTATGCTAGCTTTGTTGCCTTCTAGAGAATCTGAAAATATAGGAACTGTTTAGTTTTCAACCACAGGTACGGTAAGCCACCTGGTATTGCCCAGCAAGCACTGCGTATATGAGATGTATTTCGAGGTCTTGTATACCATGGGGGATTAGATCGTGAGAATTTTCTTGGTCGCTCAAAAATTACTACCAAATTGAACTCCCCAAGATAAAGACCTTTACGAAGACAAGACATGGCTCAAAGAGCAGATTACTGGTATGTTTTGCCAAGAAAGGATTGAAGGGAAGTTAATGTTTTGCCAAGAAAAGAAGAGGATGAGCACATTAGATTTGTTGGCTTTGCGTAATTATTGAGGAGGAAGGAGATGCAAAAAGGTAGTTTTTAACTTGAGATGGCCAATGAACTAATCAGGTTGGGGATCACGCAAATCAGGTAGACATGCCCTTCTCTATGCAGCCACTTACCCTTACGGTGAGTTTGATTCATGTCTGATAAGGGTAGGCATGAGAAAAGGTTTTTTGGTTCATGGGAAATCAAGGCTATTTCCCTATTAGCAAAGAGCCGTCATCATAAACCATGGCGCATGAATCCCACGTAAGCGTGACCCTATGGCCACTTTGATGCTTAGGGTTGGATTAGATTATATTGCTTTAGATTAGATTCCTCACGAGATTCAAGGTACGTTACCTTCAATTTAAACAAAATTTAAACGTTTTCCTCTATTTCTTCATTCAGCATACCTTGAATCTAGTGAGTTATCTAATCTAATCCAATCTTAGGCACCAAACATGACCTATATCTCTCAAAAGCGTTGCTAAAGTCGTTTTGGCCCGAGGCGAGTGCATAATGCTTCATGAAATCTTGGGCTTTAGTTACTTTAATCCAAGGCCCATCAATGCCTTTTGGGCCATATCATCAATGTAGCCCTGTGGGACATTTATGTTGTTTCCTTTCCTTTTATGCGCATTTATATTGTTTCTTGCTTTGATTACTTTCTTATGTAATCTCCTCCGTTTTGAAACCCGAGAAACAGAGAAAAACAGAGGGAGGGAGTGAAAACACAGAGAGAGAGAGGGGATTACGATGACGAGTACAAGTGCGGTGGGCATCATCATCTTCTTCTTCATCCTGTGTTTGGTACGGACGGGTCAAGCCATTTGGATGACGTTACCGTCATCCGGTACAAAGTGCGTCTCCGAGGAAATCCAGAACAACGTCGTTGTTTTGGCCGACTACGTCGTCATTTCCGACGATCACTCCCACTCCCCCACCATCTCCGTCAAGGTCTGTGCTGCTCCAAAATTTCCTCTTTTTGCTCCTCCCCATCTCCCCTTTTTCCTTTAAATTATAATAATCAACTATCACATATGGTTTTTTTTATTTTTTGTAATTTCTATTATCAATGCATATACTAATTTAGCAACAAAGAAAAAACCCAAAATTTAGCTGATTGGTTTTTATCCTTATGCGCATAAATTAAGACGAAAAGAGATCTCAAATGTGATACAATCACAATGCATATTTCATTGATGGTGGAAATGGAAAAATGCTAATTGTATCTTTTGTTTCTGCGTGTATATATTTGTTGCTTATGAAGATATATATATATATATATATATATATAATGATGATGATTTATGTAAAAGTGGAGTCAACTGGTGGTGCACATGTTATGGACTTATATTATTCATATGCAATGCACGGTATTTTTGCACATTGCTAGAGGCTTGCTCTTGTTTAGATGTGATTTTGTTTCAAATGTAATCTTCCTGCAGTTTCTTGTTAAGTGTAAATAGACGACAATGCATCAAGGCATCATCGGATACTCTGCATTGGTATTTTAACAATGGCATCCTTAGCCCTTGTTCATTTGTGGTGAAAGTATTTCCAATGTGGTTGGTAAAGGTTCTAGAACAAATACTGGCTGTGTTAACTGTCCAGGCAGTTGCTTTGATCTGCAGGTTCTGAGTTAGTTAGACACCTTTTGCTGGGTTAGCTGTGCACTAAAAATCACGGAAAACTGTGAATAAATTTTATTGACATGAAGGCCATTGGCCATCTTAGTGGGAGATATTTGATCCAGGGAAGGGGTTCTCTGGCCTGTATTGCAAATATTGGCTGAGTGGTTGTGGTTCATTTGTGCTAAGATTTGTTTACAGTGGAGCTAATGAAAAGGATGCATTAGCAGTGCTTCTCTAGAGTCCTAATAGTAGCCAAAATGACAAAAGATACATCATTGCTAAGAACCTTAATTACTTATACAGGATTCAAAACTGTTGTTACTTGATGTTTGAGGGATTTGAGTGACTTCGTACTCAAATTTTTTTGTTGTGTCAAGTTAATCGAGCTGTTGATTTTTCACTTCTGGATAACTCCCCTAAATTGCAAATGGAAAACTAATGGCAAACTGAAAATGAATTTTTAAAGGGAAAGTAATTACATTGGCGGTTTCTCTATATTTGACTTGTATAATTGTATTTTCATCTTACATCTGGTGTAGTTTTCTTGTAACTTTTGGTTCTTGTGCTTCTGTAGGTGACATCGCCTTACGGGAAAGATCTTCATCACAGGGATAATGCTACACATGGTCAGTTTGCCTTTACAACTCAAGAGGCTGGTAACTACCTGGCATGTTTTTGGGTTGATAGTAATAATCCTGGAGGCAGTGGGGTAAGTGTCAACCTTGACTGGAAAACTGGAATTGCAGCTCAGGATTGGGATTCAGTAGCAAGAAAAGAGAAGATTGAGGTGAGTGCTGGGAAAATACCTTCCTTTCTTTTTTTTTTTCTTTTTTTTTCTACTAATATGCATATATACACACATGTTTTATGCATTTCATTAATGTTTTATTGTTTTTATTAATGCTAAGATAATGGACATTAGTAGTGAACTGAGTGCTGATGTGAAAAGTTTATTAAAGATTTAGGTGTCTGCAACGGCCATAGAAATGAATTTCTAGATTTTATGCTGTAAATTTATGTGACGGAAATTTGCTTTCCGACCACTAATAATGGTTTGCTATTGATTCTTGACTTATCAAGTGCAAGTCTTCACATTAGTATAGGTTAATGTGTGGCAGGATTATCAATATTTTTTTGGGCATCATTATCCTTTAATTGTGCTTATTCTAAGTATCTGCCCTCATATAGGGTCTTGAGCTTGAACTACGGAAACTGGAGGGGGCAGTGGAGGCCATCCACGAGAATCTACTTTATATCAAGGGCAGGTAATCTTTGCGTTCCTAATAAGAATTCAGTCAGGATGTCTATTTCTGTTGTAATTTATTCACTGTTTTATCTTGGATATACTCAGAGAAGCGGATATGAGGAATTTAAGTGAACGAACAAACACAAGGGTGGCGTGGTTTAGCATGATGTCCTTGGGCGTCTGCATTGGAGTTTCAGGTCTGCAGTTATTGCACCTGAAGCAATTTTTCCAAAAGAAGAAGCTTATTTAAATTATTCTACCCCAATTTATCTTTCTAGACAAAAAGTGAAATAGAAAAGGAAAATTTTAACACAAAGTAATGTAAACTATGAGTAGACAGACTGGCAGTTTTCTCGTTTTGGTCGAAAGAGAAATTTGAGAAAGGAAAAGCAATAAATTTTCAGGAAATAATGATAGTTTGAATTTCTTGTGTACCAATAGATACTTTGTTAACTGGGTAATTGATATGCATTCACTTTAGCTCTTCCTTATGCATTGGCTTTGTTGAGGTTCAAAATTGTGTATTGTTGGCCAAGATGAAGCAAAAGTTGTTGTCAAGGAACCTCTTAATGAGTTTTAACTGAACCATTTGATGTGCATCAATGTACGGTCGCTTCGATATTTCAGATAACTTGAACTCTAGGAAAAATTTGGTGTCCATCACTTCATATTGCCCGTGAAGTAGAAATTTGACACAGCAAATGGCTATTTCCATGAAGGGAAAAACTTCCCTAACACAACCGTGTTCCTATTCTCTCGTCAGGTGATGAGATACATAAGAACATGGTTGTATAAAGTTGGTTACATCTGAGATAGAATTGGCAATTTCATTCCTGGCAAATAAATTAATTATATAAAAAGGGGGAAAACACCTTTGCTCAGGAGGCAAATAAAGGTAGCACAACAGAGGATGCTTAGAGGAGGCAGCTGAACGTGAGTTTTGCACTTTGCTTCATGATTAATCCAAATGAAGCATTTCTATCGTTCCATGAAAAAAATTTGAATTAAAAACCGCAATTCGACTCGATTGAATCCTAAATGCATTGAAGCTCTCGGTGTTAGCCTAAGTGATGAGGTGGGACAACGGGTTAGGATTAGGATAGGTCTAGGGCTTGATTCCATCCAATGTAACCAAGAATTGAATAAAACTGGACCCTGGATCTGATCCCAATCCATGCCACCTCTAAAAACACAGATGACTTTGTTTCCTACTTTAATGGCTTTTGCCCTATATCCACCCCTTAACTGGAACTAAGAGTTCCTCAATCAAAGAATCAATTACAAACCAATTACACCTTTAATACAAATTTGGCGGTTCACTTTTATTAGGTAAGGATTAGCTGCATTCAACTTTCTCAACAGACAACAGTTACATCCATAACTTAGGTGAAAATATTGCAAAAACATAGAACATACTCGGCGATGTAAATTAAAGCTAACAAACTCAATTTTGAAACCATTAAGAATGATCATAGTTCAATCAAATTAGCAGTCATGCTGTAATCAGAGAATTAAAGGAATGAAGTGAGTAAAGAAGGAAAAATCAGGAAGTCCCCGAGCGAGCTTTATTCTATTCTAACTATCTTGCGGTTCATGTATCTAAACCTGCAAATCTCATCGAAGAAATCATCTGCACTGCTATGACTGCTCTTCATCTGAAGAATCTTTATTACAATTGCCTTTAGATTCTTCCCATATTTCAACAAGGACTCAAGAGTGCTCATTTTCTGTTCAGCATTCAGTGGTGATCTCACTGTGATCACCACTTCTTCCAGACAAGGAATTGCAAATCCTGAATCAACCTGATAAAAACAGAAATATAAACTCAATTATTACCTTGAAGATTGACCTAAATTGAAATAGCAAAGTTACAAAATAGTATCGACTTACATTTTTCAGACTGTTCTTCTGACAAAGAGCAGCAAACATGGCTCCATGGATATCAAACTTTTGCAGCTTGGGATGGTTATTGAAAAAATCAACGAAGTCAACCTCTGGAAAAGGTTGAAGGGTCTCAAAATCCCCTGTGAATTCCACCTTCATAAATAGGTGCTTCACTTCACTTGCCCATTGAAGCATATTGCTTATTGCGTCCCAACACCACTGGACACCCCTAATGGATAAGAACTCCAGAGCCCCAAGTTTTTCAAAATCAACCATGTAGACTCTCCCTAAAAACACACCAGAAAACACAAAGATAAATGAGTCATTACTATAATTCACAGCAATAAGGAAATGGCCTCTTGGGTGAAAAAGAAACTGCACCCAATGCTGTACTTTTTTCAAGTCATCCAAGGTAAGCTTGTAACCAGTTATTACCTGCATTATTGGCAATTGAAAGATTCCTCAAATACTTTGCCTCACGAACCCGAATCCAACTGCAACCTTGCACCTCAAGCACTTTAATTTTTGGGCACTCCATAGAAAATGAGCAGTTTCCCAGGCCATAAAAGTCCAACTTGCACTGCTCCAGATATGGCAACTCGATCGAAACCGATCTCACTCCTTCACAACCAAGCAGCAACAAGTTGGTCAGATTAGGACAAGCCTGAAGCACAGTTGATAACGCAGGATCCTCCAATCTTGCACCAACAATTTCAAGGTTACTGAGTTTCTGGAAGACATCCCAATTGGGGGAGCGGGTCATTAAGACTCCCCAAAGTTTTAAAGACTCTAAATTTTCTGCAGCCATTAAGCAATCCAATTTTGAAGGGATTTCATGACAGGCCTGCTGTTCAGCAAGATTGTCCATTCGGAGCTCAAGATACCTAAGAGAAGGACCTATGAGCATTAACCACGAAGCAAGGCCAGCAGCTGAGAATGGGCTATACACAACCAGATTTTCTAATTTTTCAATCAGAGAAATCATCTTCAATACAATGTCATCAGGGCTGTCTCTGCCTAAATGGTTATCAAAGGAGTTTCTGGGGAAGTAAAGGCTCCTTATATAAGGGATTGAGTCCTTCCATCGTTTGGATACACAATTACAACTTGCAACGTCTCGGGCATTATTCATATGCGACAATATGTATTGAACAATAGCATCAGGGAGAGAGTCCATTCTGTGAGGACAGCAATCAAACATTTGGCAGTCATTACCAAGATACTTACAACCTTAAGTTAAAAACTTGACAAAACTAATTAATACTACAGAATTAGTACAGTTTCAGAAAGAAATAAGATTGGTCAATAATATTTAGTTATTATGACCAGGCACTGGCGATGTAAAGGAAATCTATGCTCTTTAAAGCACTCTTGACTCTTGAGATTAGTGACTTGTGCTCAGCATTTAATAATGTTCCTTGTCCCGGGAACACTAAAATGAAATATGTTTCTTTAATTTCTGGGATGCAAAAGAAACCCAGAAATACTAAGATAGTCATTCTATAAACTGAAAATCATAATTCAAGGAAATAAAATTATTGAAAATGCAGTTCGTAAGACTTGTAACTGAAACGAAGGAAGCTAAAGAAATTCGGAACAATCCATATGGGAAATGCGGAATTTACATGACTTGTGCAGATTGGATTAAGCTTTTGTTAGAAATTTATAAAACCCAGATAGCGGATGAAGATTTAGAGCAATTTGGGATGAACCCAAATAAGAAATTCCCAGTTAGGTTCCTAAGTGATTAAGAAAATGAAACCCAATTCAGACATCAGCTGTAGAGTGTGCTCCTTCAGGAGAAATATAACAAAATACCAATTAATATCAGTAGCAATGTTAGAAGCAGAAGCAAATCTGTGAAACAAACGAAGCACACAAGGATAAAAAGGAGAGAGAGACAGAGGGAGCTTACATATCAAAATTTGAATGTGGAATAAAGAAGAATGGATCTGAGAGAGGCTCCGGCTCCCTGGCTCACTCTCTCCCTAACAACCAACAATTATATATACAGACTCAACAGAAAGAGAGAGAGAGAGAGAGAGAGAGAGAGAGAGAGAGAGAGAGAGAGAAACGAGTGTGTGTTTGTGTGGAGGCGCTGTTGGTCCCCGAGCGTGTCTTTGTGGGGAGGCGCGCTTGTGCCTCAGGGTTTGGGGGTCATTTCAAAATTCAAAAGCTTTTTTAAACGTTTTTCCTTTCAGTTTTTAGTTTTCTGTTTAAATTTGAACAAAAATATTTGTTTTTTTTTTCTTTTTCTTTTGTTGGAAATGCGCCGAATAAACAAAATAAAAAACAAAATAATCTATTTAATCTATTATTTAGGAGAATAATCTTTGTTGCATTATTCCCTTATTTAAATTACACTAAGTAAAGAAAGTTTAATAGAGTTTGAGCAAAAATAGTAACTACCGATTATTTTCCCATTTCTCTTGACTTCTCCAGTAATAATCGTCTCAAGTACATAGAATGTATAGTTTTTGTTATCTAAAGAGTTTTTTTTCGTGTTCAATTTTATAAAATAATTTTTTGTTGAAGGAGTATAACTCAGTTGGTTGAATTTTTCAACCTCCATTTATGTAGGCAAAGATTCGAAACCCTCAGACACCCAACCCAATGAATAATCGCTTATACTAAAAATAAAAAACAAAAAACTAATGATTCTTACCAAATATGACTAGATAATTTTCCCCTTTGGGTATTTTCCTTTTCCTCCATTTTAATTGTTTATAGCACGCTGTTTTTCAATTCATAGGATGCATGATAGGAAATTTAAAACCCAAACGTGGCCCGCTAGGTTTAAAATTTTGAATTTTCGACCGTTCAAACATGTTTTTTGTTTTCAGTAATAATATTATTCAATTTCAAACATAAGGGAGGGCTCCTCGTGATTGTTGCTTGCCGATATACAATACAAATCTGAGCACGTGCTGCGTAGAAATTGGTCGCTGCTGTTGAAAAAAAAAAAAAACTTTTATGAGCCGACAAATTGCTCACTCACATGTAGGATGGTGGGGCCCACTACTCTTCTTTTATATTATTTTTGCGGAATGTATAGTGTGTTTGCTCACCGCCATTGATTCTCTTCATTCATTAGCTTTAGAGATTGAAGAGATATTTAGTGATATATATTCATTTTTAGTACTAATAATATCGATAAATTCTACATCATTGAATTTCAATAAACAACTGACTCTATTGAATTTAAGTTTTATTATTAAATTACTTTGATACTCTATAGAGTATTTTGGGCTTTTTTTATGAGGTTTTGGATTTGGGCTTGTTTTAAGAAATTAATGGCAGTTTTGTAATTTATAAGAAGTTAAAAGTCTCTTTGTTATGTTGTAAATGAGCTTTGGGTGTATTTCTAAAATCCATTTCATATATAATATTTTTATAATTTGGGCCCCTATATTTGGTATAATAGTGAATCTCCCTTGATTGAAACGAAACCATTGGCAACCAAAGAGGAATTCAAGAATAAATTCATCAGTTCATGAAGTTTAGGGTTTATAGAAATAGAATTTGATGTATTTCTCATACAAGGTACATAAATTACGGACTCGTTTGATAATCAGTTTACTTTTACATTTTGGCACTCTTTTATTATTCACTAATTAATTTTACATCACCACACATATATATTGCATTCAAATTATAAAAACTTGGTATTCGGGACATCCCGACTGAGGGAACATACTGGCAATTAACATGAAGGCAACCAGAATTTTCATAGCGTTTTCTTTCCTTGAAACAATTATTAAAAGGAAAGAAGCCACATGGATGGTATGCACTATGCATGTACAAGAAAACTTGTTTAGGAGAGGAATTTAAATGCAAGGTTTTAACCATAAGGTAGAAATTCTAACACATTGCATTCTTTTTAGAGGTGAATGTGAGGTTATGCGTTCGTACTACGTATGTGTATGCAACATAAAGTAGACAAAATCTCCACAGAAAGATGCAAAATTTGATTCACAATACGAAAATTGTTTCTTGTTCTGCAGACACCATCCTAATTGATTTACAAAATATTCCACTTCCTCGCCAATGCTGTACTTATCCTTTTCAGGCAAACCACAGCACTCAGCGGATGATCAGAAACTGCAAGCACACAAACAGATTTATTAACAAACAAAATCATAAAGAAAAACAAAATAAGAGCTTTTGCCATGAAGAGGAAAAAAAAAACCTAGAACAATATCATGGCAATCAAAGAAACCATCAGACTGGCCAAGACTGCTTGCGGTGTTCACCCTCTGCAATGTCTATGCAAAATGTATTGCTTAATTTTTTTTTTTTCTTCAGCAAGTACAACTCAAAAGACGCTATTGATTGGGTCATGAGCCATTATTGCACCAACCTGAACTTCAGATTAGTAAATCAGCTAATGAACCAAACACCTAATCTAATACCAAATGTGTAATGCAAACAGATGATAGGAGACTGTAATGCTCATACCATGAAAACAAAGTTGACATTATCGCTGACAACATCCACATAATCCCTTAAGTAAACTGCCTTCTGCGAACTCATGGAAAGGCCTGAAGTGACAGATGTTTTCTGTCAAAGAAGCTTTTAAATGAAAACAGAACCGTGCACATTATTTGAGGCTTACCTATCTTGAGGGAATTAGCAGGATCTACAGGGTTCTTAACCACATGCAAGAGTCTTTCACGTCGACCCTGGGATTTAATCCTAAACTTTCGCAATAATTGTGCTGCAATATATATGAAGAAAGATAATAATGTGGACGAAAATAACCAAGAACAATAGTTCACTTTGTTATCAAAGAAAAACTAACACATCATAGCACAAAACTGTTGAAGAATATAAGTCTCATCGGAAACTTGACTAAATAAAATACAAGATATAATGAATGGTTCTACTACTAACATCATTGAGGCATTTTGTGATAAAACCTCACACCTACTGGGCTTTGTAGGTGGTTAAGTTGGGGACAATATCGATGTTGCTAGTAGTGGGCCGCTGTCCCGTCTCTCTCTGAAAAGTTACTTAAGCTGCAACTTTCATAGATATTAAGCACATTATCAACGAATGTATTGAACTAATAAAATTCAAAATATATGAAGTATAAGATGCACATGATGAAATGTACATGTATATATAAAGCGCGATGAAAATCCACTAAGTATTAGAGCTTGGTTTTTGACATTGATTAAGTGTTTGGGACCTATAATTTCTTTCAAAACTGAAGACAAATTTATGGGTTATTTGTTTGGTATCGGAGGTAATCAGGGATATATCGCCGATAAGGGGGAAGAAATAGGCTTACCCCCTTGTATCTGTATTGACACCTAAAAAAAGGGATATATCGGCCGATATTTTCATCATTGTCTATGACATTGAAAAACTTGATGATTTGAAATGCTTTGCTGATGGACGAAGTGGGGGATGCCTGCAATAATAAGCCTATAAAGAAAGAAGATTTGGATGAAGTGACTAGCTATAACAACTACTTGTAATAGTGGGGGAGATGTTGGCTGCGTGAAGAAGTGGGGCTGGGCTGAAAGATGGGGTGTCTGCTTGAGTGGGCGGCGAGGGTGCTGGTTTGGTTGGCTAAGTCGGGCTAGGGGGGGCTGGGAGGAGAGCGATGGAGAGATATTTGTGTTTTTTTTTTCTTTTGATTTTTAATTTTAACTTTCAATAAAAAATTTATCTTTCCTTTTTTTTTTTCTAGCTTTTGTTTGGACCGAAATGCCCCTCAACAAATAACAGCAGTTACTTTATTTTGACAGAAATTAGAATTTGTCCTTTAATTGCTTAAATTGAAAACTACATAGACAAATTTGATTAAATTGAAACGACAGGGACCAAAGTGGTAAAAGTGGCAAACTACATGGACCAAAAATGACTTTTTGCCTTTTATATCTAGGGAGATTCTCCAATAAGTATTTTATGTTAAGGATTGGTTACATACTAAAAGAAGACTTGTTCTCAACTCTACTAACTACTAGTTTACTTGCACCATTGCCCTTCGGCACATTTGCATAATTTCCCTTCGAAACCTAACTCGTGACACACAAGTATCGTTCCCTTTGGTACCTACCTTGTGATACACAAGCATTTTGCCATTTGGAAATCGCCTTGTGACACACAAGTATTATGCCCTTCGACACCCCCCCCCCCCCCTTGGGGACCTATCGGCACCTACCTTGCGACGCGCAAGTATCATGCCTTTTGGCACCCCGCCTATTGGCACGTTATCATTGACCAATTGGTACGATTTCAAGACTTTTCTCTTCGACATCCTTGCTTAGGCACCATAAAACAACATGATGGGGGACTTGGAAACCATTTAATATTTTTATTCCCAAGTCATTCCCTTTAAGGTCCTTCTTACCTGGGGACTTGGGGGGACTGGGCGTAGTGCACCATACGGCCTTGAAGACAAACTAAGAAGTTGCTCAGGAATCGAATTACAAGTCCCTAACTAAGAAGTACCTTCTTACTCAGGAACTTGGAAGGACTTCTATTAGTATTGTGACTAGGAAAGCAACTAGAAATAACACCAATAAGTCCCACTTCGACATATTGTAAGGGAGGACTCTCCCTCACCTATAAAAGGAGACCACTCTCCACTTTTAAAGGGTATTATCTCTCTTCTTCCTCTTCTCTTTGGGACTAACCCCTTGTACTACATCATCACAACTTATTATAATGAGAACATCTCTCTGTGGATGTTGCCCATTCAGGTGAACCACGTACATGTTGAAGGCATACACAAGTAAGGGCTCTTCTTCTGTTCTACGAATCTAACTAATCTATACTACTACTAACTATAGTCAGACTAGGTCTTCTAGAGGGAACTAGCATAGTATGGTTTATATATTTTGTGCTACTAGAACCACAAGCCGCACTATCTCACATATCCTAAGTTATGTCCAACTTTAAGCATCAACAAAACCTATGAATTATATTCTCATGTTTATCTACTCTTTTGAAGGTTGTTGGGTTGATTAAGTAAGAGTACGTCAGAGGATACGACACATTTGTGGCTATAAAGTTTAAAGTTTTAGTAATGATATTCGTACATTTGTTTCAGGTCATGATAAATGGTGATTGATGTGTATAGATGGACTAGGGTTAGGTTTTAAGTATTATATCATTTATTGTCCTTTTACATTTAAAAAAAATGATGTGAACTCATACTTACATTGGATTTAAATAGAAAAACTCAAAGTTAAAAACATACATAAAAAATTAGCAATACTGTTGAAATCCACCATGAATATGGTAGATAGCCACTTTTCAAATTAAAATCATTGTGGATGGAGCATTTTTTTGGTTTCACTTTTATAAGATAATATTATCCATCAATAGCTTCATCTCTTTAATCTTTATGCTCTCTCACACTTTCTTTTTCAAACTTTGCTTCTTCTCAACGTTCGGTAGCCTAAAGAATAACTTGGAATAAAAAAAGATGAAAAAAAAAAAGAATAGACTCAGTAGAGGAGTGTGTGAGTGACAGAGTGTAGAGAGAGAGAGTGTGTGTGAGTAAAAAACGAAAAGAAAAGGAAAGAAGGTTATTGTCCTTTTAATGGTTTAAACAGGGCGATACCCACCATGAACACTTGTCCCTCACATCTTCACCTTCACCTTCTTCTTCTTCTTTTGCTTCTTGTGCCCTTTGTATTCTCCTCTCTTTAGACTGAGAAAGAAAGAGAGGGAAATCCCAGATGCTCTGCAAATGGGGAAGGGTGAGCAAAATCTGCATCAGCAGCAGAGTCATGGGGGTGAAAATTCTTCGGAACTCATCTGTCCTGGATGTTCGATGGTTTTTAATAGAATCGCCAAAGACTTCAGCTTTAGATGCGTTTTTGTGTTAATTCTCAGCTTATCAATTTTTCTCTCTGGGATCTTCTGGATCCTTCCTTACCGTTCAACCAAGTCTGGGTTTGATGCCAAAGAGGCAATTAAGCTCAGTGGTATGTCCTCTCTCTCTCTCTCTCTCTCTCTCTCTCTCTCTCTCTAATCTATATATAGATAGATATTTATATATGCTTCACTTTGATTCTTCTTTTATTTATTTATTTATTTTTCATTATAAGATTTTTCTGATGCTTTGAGCAAATGGGTATGTGATTTATCTTTGTTGTAAAATTGGGGGTCTTTGAATGTTTTAAGCAAATGGGGTTTTGGTAGTTTACCTTGTTGTGTTGATGTGTGGTAGTAGTTTACCTAATTATTAGGGATTTTTGGTGATTTTAAATAAATGGGGTTTTATGGTTATTTTAGGGAAGGCGCAAGTGGTATTACACTGTGTTCTATAATTCAGGTCTTGCAATGTTTCACTCATCTGGCTATATATAGGATATGGCATTCTCGCTTCGTTTTAAGCATTTCTGATGTTCTGAGGAGATGGTTTATGCGTTATTTCACCTTCTGGCTAAGTAGTTAAGTTTTCATGGTGTTTTGTGGATCTGGTACGAGTTAATTCACCTTAAATTTAGGATGGGGTGGGAAAGGAATTGGTTGTCTCATGATTTCTCGTAATCTTGTGCGTGTGCACTTGCACACACTCGTGCTGTGTGTCCAAGTTTCCTTGATACTATTTTATATATGTCAGATGTGTGGCTCTGGCTAAAGCACAAACTGAAGTATATCATGCACAGATTTGCTCAGTACGGAGCTTTCCCTTAGATTTAGTTGAATTCAGGAGCATTTATGAGGCTTAGGGTTGATGGATCTAGTTAGACACTAAGACCTAAATAAGTTTCATATTTCCAGAAATGCTTTTCTGCTGGTGGTGGATCTACTATAGGCTTGGAAGTGACCGTAATGTCCTGTCATGTCAGAATTGCTATTCTAATAGTTACCAATAGATGTATTTGTCTTTGGTGTGCATTCACGAGGAACAAGGCTTCTGCAGTTGACTGCAGAGGTGAAAATTGTCTGAAATTGGATATCTCACCAAGTAGTCTGCGTTCATGTAGCCAAATCATCTGTTTTCCAATAGCAGTTAATGAATTGTGTGGAATTACAATGTTAATGGTCTATGTTATTTCTCATATGTTTTCTCTGAAGTTGGTTCTTAGAAAGAACTGAGAATAATAAATGTTTCCTATTCAAGAAAAGTAACTTTTTATTTCCTCATGAGAAAGGAAATAGATTATACCTACAAAAAAAGGAAATAATTGACCAGCAGTCTTAATAGTTCTACTGATGTAGAGGATGGTTATAGAGGCCATTTCAAGTTACAACTACACAAAGGAACAAAAATCAAATAACATATTATTCCCAGGATCAAGAAAGGACAGACCACACCAAAATCATGCAACCCTATCTCCATCTACTTTTGGATATTCCTGATGCGGGACATTGCAAGTTATGCTGCCTAGGGTTATGGTGGCCGTGGGCTTAAGATTGGAACTTTTGGAAGTAAAATATTTTAGCGAACAAACAAGCTGTGTATAAGTGTTGTAATTTTAGAGAAATCAGAGAGATGGAGAAGAATCTAGAAAGAAGAGAGAGGAGAAGGTAGAAGGGATATGAAGGCACCAAGCCTTCAAAAACACTATAATTTCATTCATCCAAGACTCATAAAGTATTGTAGAAATATCCTTAGATTCATGATGAGTAACAGGAGACTCCTATAAAACTTAAAGATATTGTGTTTTCCTAAGACCAAATAAATAGACTCTCATACCGATTGACTTGTACTCAAGATTAGTAACAATTGACCCAAATATATACTCTTGCCATTAAGTTGTAGACTTTGAACTTTTTAGTTATTATCTCTTTTGATTTTCTGATTATTGTACCATGGGCATTTCTCTTATTCAGTCTCCTATTAAGTAAAAAAGAATGATGATAGACCTGAAAAGTTTTTCCTTTTTAAGAATAAAAACCAAAAATTTAATTGTAATGTAAATTAACTCATATAAAAAACTTGTCATGCAACCAAATTGACCTTAACGACATATGAATTCTGAGCAGTCTAAGAGTGTGCCTGGAGAAATTTCCAAAAGAACCATATCTGTTTTTAGTATCTGCAATGCCAGACAAAGTAAAAATTGTTACACAAGATTTGTATAGGTTACTATCGTGTACTTGTGATGAAGCAGGATACATCTTTATGTAAAAGTATCATGGCAAATCATTGAGTGGTCTGACCCTATTTTGGTGCCTTCTTCATTTATCCGAAAGAGAAGGATTGGAAAACAAAAAAGAGGGTGTGAGTTTGTATTAGAAGGTTAGATTAAAAGTTAATGCCCTAGCAAAAAAAAAAAAAAAAGTCAAGTAATGCCATGACAAATTCTGTTGCTAGATCTGTGATATTAATCACAGTCTCTTTGTTTATGCAGATTGGGGGCTGCTTTGTATTGAGTTTTTTCTGTGCTTTGGTTTCTTGTTTGTTGCTTTAACTCTGATCAAAATTGCCTGCTGATAGATTTTATTATTTTAGCTTCCGGGAACTGGTTGTTCACTGTTGTTCTACTTTTATCACTTTATTTTGATAATGGTGTTTTTCTTCTTATCAAAATAATAATTTACATAATTACAATAACAATAAAAAAGAGTAATAATAATGATAATAACAATAGCATTTGTCAATACTAAATTCTAGAGAAATATCTTGTTAGGAAACACTAGTTTTTATGTATTTTTGGTCTCGTTAGAAAAGACTAGTTTCTGTGATACAAGCAACTAACCTCAAATGCAAAATAAAAAACAATTGTCAACTTACGAACTGGAACTCCGGTATCCTAGCAATTACATAAAATAATATATACATCGTAATATTAGCACTGCCATAAACATGTTAGGTGTCATGTAATTCCCAAAAGTAAAGCATGTCCTATCATGCCTAAAACACAATACTCTAGGATCAACAAAAGTTTATGCCTCAAACATAGAATGTGGATGGACAGAAATGTCATTATGTATAGTGAACTTATCAATTTCCAAATTTGGGCAATTCAGAGGTCTTAAGACAATTGTTTTCAGTCTAGGGATACCAACCTGAGACTCACTGAATTTCACCCCAAACAACTCCAAAAATCAACTGGGCTCCTAATGACTGCATGGTGCAGAGACTGGATTCTAATGCATGCATATTATTTGAGGGCAAGAGGCAATTAGATATATGGTTATAGTAATTGGGGAAATATATTTTTTGATATTTCGATAGATAAATATAATTATATTAGTCTAGGCCGTATATGTGATTATGGTAATATTGTACCAATTTGCTAATGTCGGAGATAATTGCTGCTGAATTAAGACAACCCATTTATGTAATATCTTTGTACTTTCCATACTAGAACAATCTTTTTCACTGGTCCAAAAAGAAAAAAACCATTTAATGTTTTTAGAAATTAAAGATTAATTGGAAATTTGATATTTCCAATACTATTTTTGATGATTTGGAGCTAACATGCATGTTCTTTATTGCTTTAACCTTTCAATCTTTTTATTATTAAGATTTAGGGTTTCTGATTTCGTCTCATGCTTAAAGAAGTAAAAAGGTGAATGCTTATGTGTTTCTTTATCTTTTTCCAGCCACAGTTCAGGCATACTTCAGACTGGAAAAGCCAGTTATGGACCTTGTTCCACACATCAGAAGATTAGAATATGATATCAATGGGGAAATAGGTGTCCCAGGTACAAAGGTACAATTTCAAGCTTTTGCATTATATACCATATCATATTGCTTTCATGCAAAGTGAATCGTCAAACTGAAGTATGCTTATTCTCAACAGGTGGCTATTTTGTCCATGCACCAAAATGATGCATATAACTGGACTGATGTGGTTTTTGGGGTTCTTTCCGATCCAATAAATGCTCCAATGATTCCAGTGTCCTTAAGTGTACTGAGGTCATCTTTCGTTGAGCTGTTCCTTAAGCAAACCAATCTTACGGTGACAACATCAATTTTCGGGCAGCCATCTATGTTTGAGATTCTGAAGTATCCGGCGGGAATCACTGTGATTCCTGGGCAATCTGCTTCGATCTGGCAGATACCCCAGATCCTATTTAATTTTACTCTCAATAATTCTACATCAGACATAGTGGAAAACTTTGTTCAGTTAAAGGAGCAGTTGAGGTTTGGATTGCATCTAAGGTCTTATGAGGTATAACACCACTATTTGAGTAACTTTTCGCACAGTTATTTCCAGGCACCAACTTTTGGGCTTCTGATTTATGAACTTTGGTTCAGCACTATTTCCTAAAACTTTAGCTGTTAGAACGTGGGGCAACAGTTTATTTAATATTCTAACGTGTTGGAATCATCATTTCAGATCCAAACCTTTCTTATAGCTGCTAAGTTCTGCACCATACATGAGATCTATGCAAGAATTGTTTTCAGTTATGAAATATAAAGCCTAATCTTAACAGTTATGGAAACAAAGACACCAAAAAGGTAGCAACATAGAGTACCGACCTTTCTTCCTGAAGATTTAAAAGGATAATGTGTATACAAGTGTGCATTTTCCAAATTTAAATGTCCATCTGGATTTTCATAGTTGTTAAGGACCCATATTATCAACTTAAACAATCTTGGTACTGGATGATGCTCTCAAGTTTGCATTGTGCTTTAGTGATAAATAAGTGCAATTTTTCTCTTCATGCAGAATGTATTTTTGCAAATTACAAACAAATTGGGTTCAACTACAGATGCCCCAGTTGTAGTTCAAGCGTCTCTCATGTCTGAGTTTGGGGGCATTGTGCCACAGAGATTGAAGCAGTTGGCTCAAACAATCACTGGTTCTCCAGCAAAAAATCTTGGCCTTGATAACTCAGTCTTTGGTAAAGTTAAAAGTATCAGTTTATCTTCTTACCTTAAGGGTACACTTACTGCAACCCCTCCTACTCCTTCTCCCGCTCCATCTCCAGAGCCAACAATTTCTCCATATCCTGCTTCTCCAGTTCACTCTCCAGCACCCTTACCTGACAGTAATCATCTCCCACCAGCACCATCCAAGGTACCTCCACATCCTCGTCCATGTCCATACCGCGGTTCTGGAATTCCTCCAAGCTCCTCACCAACTTCTCATCCTAACCCTACTGTTCCTCCTACTTATGCACCTAATGGTTCCCCTTACTCGCCTTCTACGAGTCCCTCATCTCAATTGTCTCCCCATGTGTCACCTGCACCTGTAGTGTCCAATGCTCCGAGTCCAGGAAACAAGGGAAGTGCACAAGACTTAATTTCTCCATCACCTTCCCCATCCTTGTCATGTAAGTTACAAGCAGTAAGATTTATATTTTTTTTCCTCCTGTTTTTAGTTGGCATGTATGTTTGGTGACTTAATGCATTATGTTGTTTGTTTTTTATGGTTTTGGCAGTGTTAGTTATTCATATAGAATGCAGGCTCAGAGTTAGAGTTTATAAGAAATTATGATTCTTTGCTGTGTTAATAAGATTTTAAGCATCTTTATTCATAATTTTGTCTTTTGGCAATAGAGGTTCTTCTTAATTGAAAATAGGCCCCTCTATAGTTGAGATGTTGGTAGTCAGTTTATGTGACTTCTGATCTCATGAGTTTGATAAGAGTAGAAATTGCCCTGCTTTACTAATGCCGGTTACGAGAAGTTAATCCTATAGACCAAAGAAATACTATTTGAGGTTTAGCAAGATTTAATTTTGAATCTGGT